CTAGTAATCGATGCTAAGTTCCAAGATATACTCGAGGAACCTAGAAACCTAAATGAATCTAATCCTCATCCTTCCAACGGTAAGCTAAAGGTAATTCACACGATGAAAACTGGGTGTCAACCAGTCTTACTAGACCCAGGGGACTAGCACCAGATGAGCTTAAGGTCGCTAGGGTGGAATTGGACTACATGCTACAGCAGCCAATTGTCCATCCCTCCGATAGCATATTGGCATCTCCTCTACACATGGCCTCAAAGAGAAATCAAGGCAACCGGCCACCGTGATTACAATGATAAATGCAATGATAAGTAAAATAAACTTTAAAAATATGTGTGAACATTTCAGAATGTTACAGTACAACCTGAGTTACAACATAATTGTGAAAATTGTTGAGCATACAACTGCTTACTGGATATAAATATGTAGTATAAACCAACATACAAAAGAGTAGAAAAGGAATGAGCAGGAACAATGTAAAACAAACCTAACACCGCTCCCCAAAGACAGCATGTCTTCCCTTACTTTCGCTGATTAGGTAATAACGTAAAAACATTCAGAGGTGACAATGGTACAATTTGCTCTAGCCACAGTCACTCTGAAAATTCCCTCCACCCTCTACTTTTCGGTCGTCAACTCCTTCTAATAAACAAATTTTACGTATGTGTCTAATAATTGTACCTTTCCACGTTCTGATCTTCGCTTGTCTCCATAGACCATCTCCTCCTGTATCAAAACGTACCACGAGACTGGATCGCGAATTTGTAAATCTCGTCTTCCTTGTGTCCATTTTGGTTGCGTCTGTAAGAGTGGTCTATCATTAGGTATTCTTCCTGCTTCAGTCAAACAGGTAGTGAGTGTCACTTAAGACATAGTACTCAGCGTATGCTTCCTATTAATCTTTCCCATACTCGATGATGATTTGCGTAGGGAGTGTTGTGGTGCCGTTCTATGTTCCGATTAGTCATTTCTTTAGCTACTCTACTATCATTAAAGCCTGGTAATGGATGTTGTATCTGCTTGTCTAACCCAACTAAAGGGGGGATGGATGTAGTTGTCTTAAACTTCTTATCATCATCAACAGACTGAATAAAACAATCATCTTTCTGATTCTCTGTTTCACACTTGATGTCAATAGAACTCTCAGCAGACGTCACTACAGGAGATACAAGTTTCGTATTTGCAGAGAACTGAGTTGTTGTTGCTTTGCAACTAATTGATGACTCGTGTAGTTGTATCACAGACTTAGCACTATTGTTTACGTCAGAAACACCAGGGAGATCTGTTTCGGCAGAGAACATAACAGATGTTTTCGATGACATTAACTCTCCACTATCTGTTGGAAGAATTTTGTCTGGAGGAGAAATACATCTAAGGTCATTATTCACTACTGTGTCGACATGACGATCGTTGGCAGTTTTTAGAAGGTACTCATCGTCAACAGCTGGTAATGAAATAACTTGTTCTAAATCCATTAGATTCTCGTCTGTCGCTTTAGATACAGAGTCAAAGGTGTCTATAAGTCGGTTACTTCTTGAATCAGGTGGAGTGTCAAATCCAGAAGAACGAACTGACGGTAAACCTTGATGAACCCTGGAATCTTCAGTCTTAACAGCGGTTGCTGCTACTATGAGTGAGCGTACATCATCATCATCGACTAAGAGTGCCACATCAGGAGTGTTTAAGGCATAAACCAGGATCATCTATGAACAGCAACGAACGATTTGAAGAGTTTTCAAAGGGGCGGCGTGGGTCCGTCCTCGATAGAACTCTTTGCTTCTAAACAGTTTATGAAGGCTGAGGTTTTACTGACTTTACCCGCTGGCCCAAATAAAGCCCATCCTAACATGGCTAGTGAAGCGTAAGGTTGTTGGGACCTTCCGATACGTTGATCGAGAACCCAGTGGGCTTGTGGAACGTCAACTCCAATTAACAACCCTACTCTGTCGCATATAATAGTAGGTAGCCGTACACCGTCCATATGTTTCCACCTTTTCTGAAAGTCAGTCGGTGGCATTTCTGCTTTTTTAACAGGCAAGTTATCTATAGTGTATGCACCTTCGATCCTTATTCGGTTAGTCTTATCTAAAGATTCAATTTCGAAATTAGTAAATTCAGCGTTCTGAGATGACGCTCCAATTACAGAGGATATGTTTAATCGAGTCACTGTACCTGAAATTCCCACCTGCTTTGCCACATCACTAAGCAGTAGTGTCGTGTCTGAGCCGTTATCTAATAATGCATATGTATCCACGTGCCCTGTGGAGCCATGTAACCTGACTGGTACAAATCCCAAATACGTTCCAGTAGAATAAGTAGCATTACAGCGTGCTTGTTTAACATCAGGTTCTGTGTTGTGAAGAATTCTATGATGACGTCGTTTGCATCCGTCGATGTCACACGACATGAGTTGTCAGCAGTCTGTTGCTCGGTGATTGGGTTTTAAACAATTAAAGCAAAGCTTAAATTTCCTCAGTAATTCTAACCTTTCGTTGTGATTTACTGCTAGCAGCTGTGGGCAAGATACAACTTCGTGGGTATCAGAGCAAATTACACTATGAACTGTTCCTTTACTCGACAATGTATGGATCTTAGCTCTAATAGAAGCAGATCGGTTGTTAGATGTCGTTTGAGCTTTGTAGCTCCCACTTGCTAAGTGTTCGTAAGTGTTCGTGGCGATTGACACTCTGCTTTCTAAGAATTGCAACAAATCAAAATTGGGCTCTAGGCCCTTTCTTAAAATATCGTCTGCGGCTTCCGTCCATATAAACTGTATACCTCGTGGTAGTCGTTTCACTATTCGTTTTATATTGATTGAACAATTCAGATCGGCATTTCTGCCCATCTGTGACAAGGCTATCTTACAGTTGGTCATGAGTCTCGTTACTTTCTGTAGCCCCGTTACATCGTCTTGATTTAGTGGTGGTCCATTTAGCAATTTATTTAATCATATTTATTGATACTATCGTCACGGTTTGACTGGATAATTTCAAAATCTTGAGTTTTGTGTAAATTATTATAGATGCAAATAAAGTATTATTAATATCCCAATGAGTAAAAAAAATTAAATTTCTAAATTTTTCGAATTTTTGTAACTAGATGTCTGCCACTTCTTTAGAGAATAAATAAACCAATTAAATTAACCTAAATTTAAATGGTACAAAGGAGTAAAGCGAGAATATTTGGTGCGATCAATCAAAAACAAGTCTGACCAAGTTGATATCATGTCGTTCCGGCCAAGGTGATTTATATGATTCATGTTTGTGTACTTTTGTGTGTGTTAAATGATGGAAAAATTTGACATTATTGATCTAAAATGATGGAGTTGAATTTGTATTTACGATAAGAGTGTGGGATGTGAATAGAATCAGACACGGCAGTTCGAACTGATGGGCCAAGTCGGATGGATAGTGTGGCGTTCTTTTCTATTAAGGACAATAGGATTATGCAAAACATGGAAAGCTTCAGCTACTCTCCTTTCTTTGTAGCTGAAAAAGCTTTGTTGTATTATTTTGATATTTTTAACATCCACTTGATGGTTATTGAAAATGTCATCGACTGCTGTCTTCGATCTAATTTGAAGTCTTTTCAGTTTTATGGGACTACTAGTGCTTTCTTCGTGTGCCTAAGATATCCTTTGACTCGAGTCAAGATTTCATGGACTTACTCTGCAACATAGTAGGAATCACGACGGACAACCCTTAATTTGTAGACAAAATTCTGTATTGACTTGACGGCGATTTTTTCTTTTAAGCGAACTATAGCATTTCGAAGAGTGTTCGTCGTTTATGACATACTTCAATTCTGTATTGTTTCAGGACTACTAGAAGTCCTTCTGTTACACCATGACGGCATGGTGAGACTTCAGTGTCAATCTCTGGTATTTTGTTCAGGTTATTATATAGCAGCAAAACGTGTGATTGCATTGTACTTCTAACAATATTCATAAGAAATTTATTATATCGTAAGATGTTAGTTATATGCTTTTGTTATTTTTGTTTTTCCTCTTCAGATGTGATAATCTTGTTCGCAGTTCCAAAGAAATTCAGGGCTAGAGAGATTGTTGCACTGTATGGATGTGCTGAATTGAAGTCAGTATAACGATTTCAGCACGTTGATTTTCGATAGGCGGCTGGATTTAGAGCTTCAGTTAGATTTTTTTCAAGTGGAGGGTCTAAAAACGGTAGCTCGAAATTTCCATTTACACTGTCGTACGTGAATTTAATATGAGATTAATGTGTTCGTCAGTTTATAAAAAGGTCTTAGATGGGTCTTTTTTTACGACAACAAAATATCATCTGAATTCGTGGTTCAGTGTCATTGGCGTAAATATTTGATTCTATATGTGACACAAATAAGTTGGCTGTAATCAGGACACGAGGGATCCTTTTGTTACTCGATTTATCTGCATATATGTTCCGTTAAAAGTAAATCAGGATGAATTTAAAAACCGTTTTAGGGATTCCAAGAGTAGACTGATGCTTGAAAGACATCTGTCCGACAAAATATTGCCATCCTCTAGTAAAGTCTAAGCAGACAAACAGCAATGCTCTTCAGATGCAAAGTTTTCAAACCTTCATTCACATTTCTGATCATATAGTTTTGGCCCGTTTCATGTAACAACTTCCTGTTCGTCGTCAGGCAACATATGGTAACGTTATCTCAGTTACTGTACATGTACGAAGTATTGTTGACACTAATCATAATGTTATGCTAAGAATAAAAACTCTTCTCCTAGCATCATACACTTGTAACGTCTAACACTATAATGTTTGACGGTAAAACCATTGTAGCAGTTCTTACCTTATCACACAATTGGATATCCAGCTGGAAGAATAGACGATCCACTGGTATTAGACAGACACCCTAAATACCTAAAGATTCAACATTTTTTTCTGAAAAAAATAAAATATCATTTAATCAAACATTATAGGCAGCGAGATATATTTGCAACTCAATTTTTGATGTTTGTTCTTTTTCGACACATTTGTTTTTCTGAAGTACAGCTAACTAATCTACCGAACTACTTAAGGGTCAATTGTGAATAAACTTTCTTTTCTCGCGTTTAGCTGGGCATATGTCTATCGTATGGTTTGATAGCATAAGTCATCAGCGTAATCCATGCAAGAGGCCTATTGAAAACAATAATTTTTGTAACAAAAAACGGAAGAATTACAGGCATACACCTATATCTAAGAAACCTCAGATAATTCAGTCATCTGGCCCTAACAGTGCTACTCATAGTCCTTACGTCGTAGCTCCATCTATCCAAAAATTACGTGAGAATATTTTGAGTGCCTATGTAGTTAAAGAAACAGAGATGATAGCATTTTTTCATTTGCTGGGTATAATAATTTTCGTATTAATTTCCTTTAATCCAAAGAGGATACCACAATTAAAAAGTTTCTTGCATTCGACATGTGCTTCAAATATGCGGACAATGTAAGCCTATGGAAATTTCATCGGATATTTTAGTTTGGGATTGCGTATGTGTTCGCCTATTTTAAAAGATGTAATCTTTCAATTCAAGAATATAATCGAATGAACTTTTTTTGCTGTCTGTGAGTGTGACATCTTTTTTTACATTTCAATCAAGGTATCTTGTGCATGATATAGAAGAAGATGATGGGGATCACAAATATGAAATTCTTCCATGGGCTCTTGGTTCATTTTGGCAACAGAAAATGTCGAGCTTTTCTCGACAGAAAGAGGCTTTATGGGCTAGAATGGATTATCGAGCTGTGGTTAGCTATAGATGCTGCAAAGAAGTATGTTTGGTTTTGTTTTCTACTTTGATGAAGCTAATGAGTATTTTTCCATCACATCCTGTATGGGGCCGAAACAGACTTCCACATCATGGAGGAGCTATTCGAGCTTATCTAAAGCCCACTGACTCGAATATTCCGCAGGGTCCGAAGTCTATTCCAAGGTACAAAACACCAACAAACATGACAGATTTTATTACCATATTCGTTTTGTAGACTATGTGATGCCTGTAAACTGTTCTATGCAAGAGACACTGTTCCTAAATGTTTAATTGCAAGTGAAAACTTCCTTACCCCAGAAAATTCCCCAAACCTAAATGACTCAGCTTTCCATAGTCTATTTGAAGGTAAAAACTACAAATTTGCTAAAATCAGCAAAATTAAAGACGATTCGTTCAGCAGCTTTAGAAACGAGAATGGATCAAACATGAGTACTGAGTTTCAATCATTTAATTCATGCTGTAATGAAAGTTGGCTTTCTCAAGAAACGTACTGTTATGAGAGAAGTAAGAGTGTATTCAAATTTTAAAACAAATTAGTTTTCATCTTAACAACACAGAATCTTAATTATTTATGGTACTGAATGCATAGTAGTTTTTAGAATACTATTTACATTTTAACAATGGTAAATATACTGATGGGTGACATTCAGTTGGGACTTGCAATAACACCTGCTTGGTTCAAAATCTGTGAATGATTAGCAACAGACCTACGGACTTTACATAGCCAGATGTGTCTAAGTCATGATTCTTATACATGTCATGTTTAGCGTTATGATGGGTAAACGGTTTGATAAAATAAATGATATGATTAGAGTGGTCGGACAAATAGTTAGCTCACATTATCTACCGGCTTACCTAACCAGGTCAGTTCTTGGAAGAAAAGACTAGTAGTTAACTGAATGAGCATCATATATATAAAATACCCAAAAATTGTATGAATGAGCTAGTTGTCACATAAAGACCAATTATTAAAGAAAATACTCAGAATTTTAAAATAACTAGAAATTCTGTACTTGCGTTTGTCATAAAAATTATGATACTGTTTTCCCAGGATTTACAATGGCATAACAACTGTAGTCAGTTTTAAGTCTGTACCGAAATGTACAAATGGAACATTGTGAAATAACAGAAAAACCTGTAGTAGTGTTTTTAAAACCAATGTATTTTAATTCCCAGGATTTCTTTTAATGATAAACAGCAAGATAACTAACATATATGAAATAACTCTCAGTTCGCTTCCTTAAACCAATGGAACACAAATTTACCTTCGACTAATATGTACACTAGATGCCCTCCTAGTGTTCATTCTACAGGACTTCAACACAACTCGAATCAAGAAAAGTTGATTGGCCCAACTAGAAAGTTAGTATATTTCCAAGTCGACAACTGACTTCAGTAATAATAAAGGTAGGACAATATTTAACACATCTAAGATTTGTCAGACTATCCATTAGCCTGACTGGGTAAACATCCAATCGTTATTTTTCTTACCCATACATCAATGTAACGTTTATTATTTATCAGTTTTCTGGTTAATTACACTTTGTGAACATCGTTTACCGTCGTACTAAAGCCTTCAAGTATTGCGCTTAAGTTTTATCTCCAAATGGTACATTACTGAATACAAATATGTTACTTATATACTGATTTTTATTTGATTCGTAGTAAATGTACTCTGAATATGTTAAGCAATTCATGGCTTTAAAAAGGTTGGTAAACAAGTATTTTTTGCGTAAAGGTCGTTGCTATCACTTAATTCACTCTTAGCTTGGTAAATCATTTTGTTCTCCAGATTGTGCCCTAGTAAGCATCCTAAGTTTTAGGTTTCTTTAAATTAACGAGATTTACTTACTTACGCCTGTTACTCCCAATGGGGCATAGGCCGCCGACTAGCATTCTCCAATCCACTCTATTCTGGGTCTTCCTTTCTGGTTCTATCCAATTCTTGTTCATTATTCGCATGTCTATCTCCATTTTCCGGTGTAATGTGTTTTTGGTCTTCTTCTTTTCCTTTGGCCTTCAGGATTCCATGTGAAGGCTTGCCCTGTGTGCCCTATTCATTTCCAATGCTCTTTCCCGATTTCGTTCTCCTTTAGAATCTGGTTTGTTCTCCCCCACAGTAGGTTGTTGCTGACAGTGCCTGGCCAACGGAACTGAAGTATTTTGCGTAAATAACTGTTAATAAACACCTGTATCTTCTGGACGATGGCTTTCGTAGTTCTTCAGGTTTCCACCCTATATAGTAGTACTGTCTTGACATTTGTATTGAGAATTCTGAATTTGGTGTTGGTTGACAGTTGTTTTGAGTTCCAGATATTCTTCAGTTGTAGATATGCTGCTCTTGCTTTGCCGATCCGCGCCTTCATATCTGCATCAGATCCACCATGTTCATCAATAATTCTTCCGAGATATGTAAAGGTTTGTAGATCTGCGAAAGCCTCTCCGTCAAGTATGAAGCAAAATTTCCAATGATATAAACCCGAATGGGTTTTCAGAACTCATTGGTGTTTACTAATGAGAGTAAAACAATTCGTGAAAAATTTCTCATCAGGATGTTCAGGAAACAGATATTCATAAAGTAAAAAATACGTCACCTCACAGAAAGCTCAGGGTTGTGTTATTACTGAGACTTACTACTACAAACAATTATTTGATTTTCATTTCAGATATTTTATTAAGCATGTTGAAACATTTATATCATAAAGTGTTTTATTCTATAACGTGTTCTGGATTTGGAATGAATGTTACTCCTTATTGAGTGCATAATAATAACTTTTAAAATCCTTTTTAGCCATTTCTGGTATTGAAAACGAATATTGTATTATAGATGAAGAATAAAAGAAAGAAAACTGATGAAACACATAATTCGCAGTCTTAAAAACTTATAGTCACGCTGTAAATAATTTTTGTACGTCATATACTGTAACATGTTAAGTAAATAATTCGCAAATTTTAGAATTAAAAGTTTTACACAAGCAATTTCTTTTTCTACAAAATCAAACAAAAAGTAACACAAAACGTCCATCTTTAGAATACAGAAAACTGCTCTGAACAGAATAGCGAAGGTTATCTTTTGTTGAGATCGAACTATGCTTGAAACATCGAGACACCTCTCGGTTAATAGAAGTCCGCTTTGTAAACACAAGCCAATTTGTTTTTGCGTTTCGTTGGATTGAAATAGACTGAGTTTGCTCTCTCCTCAGATCCAATATACAATTTGGGTATCTCTATCATCTTTAAATCAAGAGCAAATTATTAATTATGACGTTGTAGCAAACAATTAAGCGCATTTAATCTAAATTGCTCTGAAAAGTGAACTATCAGAGCAACATTCAGGAATGAATCCTTGGTGAATGATCAAGTTAAGAACATTTATTTCACATGCCTATGGTCCAAGTGGCTTTTTTCACTTTAAGTATAATTTATGCCTAAAACCAGATAATTATGATCTGTATAGTGCAAACATAGGTATCAAAATCCTTAACTTAAGCTTGGGGATGAAGCAGTAGTTTTTTACTTTGACGGTATTTTTGGTTATTCGATTAGAAATGGCGGAAGTTCGCACCACGAATATCACGCCACTCTAAAACGCTCATGATAGCAAATAGTTTTGTCACGATGGTTAGTCTTGTCAGAAACTCAATTTCGGAAAACTGTGAGGAGAAAGTACTATCTCAGATATTTATAATATAACTGAGTAGCTAAACATTAGTGCATTAAAATAAGTTATATTCATTGCTCCTCAAAACATTAGTCTCGATCAAGACTGTTTCCGACTGTGGAATAAGTCTTTTTCACTATAAGTTTACTAATAAGTATATGCAGCAAACGCTATATTTCCTGACGTGTATTATGATGCTTTTTAAGATGATGCTACCGAATTTTTAAAAAGTCACTTTACTTGTTCATCAGAACGGGAACCACATTAGACGAAAACTGTTGAACAGGTACAAACGCTTAGGAGTTTTAAAGGTAGTAAAACTATAATCTATTCAAAAACGTAGATCGGAAAGTTTAATAAATGTTGTGTGTAGACCCTGTTTGGTATGAACATAATGGCTGGTCACTTAACTTCAAGTGATATTATGGTACAATAATACATGATATAACCATCATTCGTCTACGAATGCAATCTGGTGGTTCTCAAAGATTAAGATGCACAGCATCGTAAAGTTTTCGTTAAATTTAGAGAAAGGCTTAGTTAACCATGAATAATATTCAAAAATGCCTTCCACACCTTGTACATTGGCGGAAAAATGAATCGAGGCTAGAGAAAAAGGCTATTTTATAGGAACTCAGGAATTAGTCTCATTGCTGGTGACATTCGCTACTTTCGAATTCGTAATGTAAAAACTGTACGATGAATAAACGTTTACGAAATATTTGGATGTTTAAACTCTTAGTTTTGTAAAACCATTTTAAATAGTAGCCAACACAGGATTGTAACACGATCTGACAAAAACGAGTTACCTCAATAATTTTGCTTCGCATTAATCTACATAGAAATCTTTTTTGTAACAAAGAAAATATAGCAATGTCCTATGTTTGACCATATATAATCAATAATTAATAACTTGTGGTCTAAATCAATATGATTTAAGGACTTTTCATATCGACAAATAAACAAGTTAGGGATAATCTGAGAATAAATTGTTTTACAACTTGTTCAATGAATAAAAGTGTATCGTGTATAAATAGTGAACTTTAACTTCTATCACTCGATTAAAATTTTATTCTTTTAGTTAATCCAAAAGTTATTTTTGATTGATATGAATTTCATTATTTAAAATTTAACATTAGATAATATTTTGTGATTACAATTGATAAAGATTGAAAAGAATGGGAAACAAATACTTTTGAAAAGTCCACTCATTGGATAATCTTAAAAGAAAAATCCCTAAAATATTAAATTCGTACATTTTGAATATAATCACTTAAAACAAAATATAACACCCAACTAGTTTATAAAGATTAAATTAAAAAGAACAGTTACAATAAACATTCATCAGCAGAAACTTGTATCTGATTCATTTAGTAAATGAGATAATCAATATAAGAGATATTATGGAAACCAAGATTTTTTATGAAGCTTTAAGATTCTCTATTTTATTCAATTATAATACTATTGATAATAATAATAATAATAGTAATAATCAGATTCATAATAAAACACAAATATACTTGCAATAAAATACATGGATATATCACTTGCATGGAGGGAAAGAGTTCAGAAACGACATCAAAGTAAGCAAGAAAGTAATATTAATGAACGGAAAAAATATTTTTTTTGTTTCAAGAAAAAGAGTTAAATCGAAATAAGCATCTAGAATAAGTTGATAAAAACAATAGAGGCAAGTATTTATCAAGCAACATACATATATATTTTTATATATCATCCTGAATGAATGCACAATAAATTCAAATAATCATTTTCATTTCATAAAAAATTGCATAAATGTTTAATATTTTCATTTGATTCTTCTTACTCTTTATATCTTCCTTTGAACTAAACAAAATATGATTGGAACCGAGATTTAGTACAAACACGACATCGACTTATTTCACGTAGCACTTTAGTTTCATCTGGTAAATGATCTGTAATATATTGACCAACTGGTTTTTGAAATTCTGTATTATTACTAACATGACGTAGATAATAAGCTTTTGCATCTGACCAATAATTGCACAAACTCATACCATTATTACATTCTAATAATGGAGAATAACTGAAATATTCAAGACAGCTGCCAGGCGATGAAAGTTGTTGACCACCACCAGTACTTCCAACACTATGCTATTAAAAAAAGAATATTTAAAATGATATATTTATTATGTATTCATAAAATCATTTTTTTATACTCAGTTCCAATACCATGGTTTCGAGGGATAAATCATTTAAGAGTTGTTTGTTTTACATACTGGACATAATGCATCTTAGACTTTGTTTCCTATGTGTCCATGAACAAAACCTTTTTCATTCATTATACTTTGTGATGATAGACTGGTTTTTAGCTTTGTTCTCTATAGGTTATACGTTTAACTACCGAATTATTAAGTGTTTTTAGCTTTCTTACTGGAAGGACTTTGAAGACCGTTGGTATTAATAGATAATTTATGACTCTAATAACTAACAACTATAAGACTAAGTCATATATTCTTCTTAAGTAAAGTGGTAATTCATTCATAAACATCACTGGTTGTTTTTAAAAAAAAACTTTATTTCTCAATATTACTAATGATTATAAAGACCGACTAAACGACAATGATCTCGCGTAATAAAAATTATGAGACAGAGAAAAGAAAAGAAATATAAACTAATGTCTGGAAGAAAATATCTATACCAATTATTTTAAATATATGGCGATAGTTGGTATTAAAACTTTACAAACATTTGAACAAAGTGAAAAGGATGAGTAATTTATGGAGTATTACATCTGTCTTTTTGGATGAAAATATAATGAAGGTAGATTTAAAAGTTCAAATCACCGTAGAAACTTGATACATACTGAATTCTGTCAGACCATTACTCTTAATTGTAGAGAAACACCAATATGACTTGTTACAAAATAGTAATAAAAATATAGATGAACAAAATGCTTTTCTATGATTTCTCTTCATATAAAAAAATGATCAGGTGGCACTGTGATCACATTTGTATTTTCTACTTCGCCCAAGGTTTTAAAAAATTATTTACTTACATGTGGGTGGCTTAGAAGTGTGTTCGATATTATTTACCTACCATAGATTTAATAAGCTATACTTTACAGTGTTAAAATTGTTCAACTGAAAAAGTATATAGATTTATAATCTCACCATTACAAAGCTATATCCATCCCAAAGTCTTGCCCAGCCTTCTGGACAGTTAACTTCTTGAAGTTGATTTGCTTGTGCATGAAAAGCATAAGGTTGTGTTGGTGCTTCACAGACAACACAACGAGCAACTCTTCGAGTAACTTCGCTTACATCTAGTGGCATCATTGGAAGAGGTTCTGTGGTAGCTAACCAGTAAGAGCGATCAGCTCGAACACCAAGTTGACAAGATCCATCGCGAAGGCATTGGAAAAATGGCATTATACTGAACATACTTAAACATGAACTATGAGAACCTGGAAAAAGATAAACATTCGCAATTATTCGTATTAGCTGGTAAGTAAATAAAAATAGGAAAAAATTCTACTTCTCAATATACTAAGAATACGAAAGTTATTTTTTTGTTCTGAATATATAAAAAGTTATCAGAATCTAATACATGAGTTATAACTAATTATCAAAACAAACAGGTATGATAGCAATAAAAACCTCGGCGAACCATTTTAGACAAATGTGCCATACCGTATATTTCGTTTTCGTGGAATTTTGTCTACAGATTTTAATTAAATTGTCTAGTTGTTTATTAACAGTGTAAAAATAACATGTAGTAATGAACAGTGGGCAAGTTGGCTTAAATAGATTTGTATTAAGTTGTAAGTTGAGCTGTCACATATAAATTTAAAAATGACTTTATCATAGATTTTATCTTATACCTACACAAAACCCTTTTTTTCCTTACTCTCTGAACAAAACAGTCATAAATGATCATTGTCGGTTATTTCAATCACCGACATCTAGCAGTGAATGACAATGATATCCTATTTAATCGATTACTGACCTTAAGTTGTAATACATTCTAGCGTTTTGGTAAAACACATATGTTGCTTTTTAAGCTATTTCAGTCAGTCGAATATACATTGTACTATTCAAGTAGCGAGGATCTTTCCCCAGAAGTATTTGTTGAACATTGTTGCAAAAACAAAAACATAAAGAAATGTTTTGGGATATAAAATTATTTTGATCTCACCATCTACAATTTATACAAAAGAACAAAACAGTTTGTAGATTCAAAGGCTAATAAATAGTTAATACATACCTAAATCCATGGTTACTAATTCACCATTGCCATTAGCCATTACAAAACTATATCCGTCTGATATTTTTTGTGAACCTGGAGGACACACAGGTTCAGTGTCAGGATTTTGGAAATGCCTTGTGAACAAGTAGGTGCTCTGTAGTGCTTGACCAGGAGGACCGCTGAATCCTTCAGGTCCGGGGGGTCCAACATCTCCAGGCATACCTCTTGGACCAATATCACCAGGAGTACCTTTTAACCCTGGATCTCCTTTCGGCCCTGGTTCTCCAGGTTCTCTACCAGTGGGACCGGGCAATCCCATTTCTCCTTTAGCTCCTTTTAATCCCCGTAGTGCCGGCTCCCCAATCATACCTTTTTGCCCAGGTGCTCCTGGTTCACCTTTGTCTCCTTTGACTCCAGGAAGACCAATAGCATCTTCTCCAGGCATTCCAGGTGCACCTATTGGTCCAGGATCACCAACATCTCCAACTTCACCTTTCATTCCAACTGTTCCTGGCCATCCAGTATCTCCTTTATCACCTCTAGGGCCCAATAACCCTGGTCTTCCGTCGTCACCTGGCAATCCAACATCCCCTGGGGGACCTGGATCTCCAATAGGACCTCTTGGGCCAATATCTCCCGGCATCCCAACTTCACCTTTTTCACCTTTAATTCCAGGGTAACCTCTTTGACCCTTAGCACCAGGTAGCGCCATATCACCTGGATCTCCTACCTCACCCTGTTCACCTTTTGGACCTAATTTATGACCATAAAGAAGGAAACAGGGAAGTTTATGAGCCACAGATTGTGAGCATTCAAAAATGTACATCAAGAATATTGCAATCTGAGTTCATTCGCCACGAATCCCTTAAAACAAATATTTATATATAAACATTTAGTGAATATCTAACGTTCGTAGAAGGATATCACTATAGTCAGTTATCATTAACTGCACAAAATAAGAAATCAACTTCTGTAATGAGGAAAGAAGTTTGTTGCATTTAAACAAAGACAATCTAATTAAATACAACCCGGATTAAATAGAAGCTGTCATATTTGAACCAGGACCAAATAGTCATAACGGGAAATCGATGGAGTAACTTGTGGCAAGGTGAATACAAATGAGTTTCTAGTCAGTAACTTTTATCGTAGTAATAATTCTTGATTTAAACAGAATCCTCACATAGGTCAAATTAGTAGTTATGAAATTTGAAGCGGAATATGGAAGTGTAAAACCTTGATGAAGCATTTAGGTAACAGATCTTGCCCTTGTCCCAGCTGTTCAACTTTGCGTGCTTTTATTTCCTCTTCAAATTCAGTCGTGCTCTTATGGTTTACAAAGCCAATTTATTTAAGTAATCATCTATTAAGAATAAATTGAAACTAAGCATATTTACATTATTATTGTAGACTACTCATGAGTAGTATTAAAAATAGGATAACTATTTTCTTGGATGATATTAACAAGTGTCTATTACCGTATTTCAAATACACCAACGTATGAAGTGTTATTCATATTTATTGAAGAACAGTTCTTTCCTAAGAACTTGGTGCAATAAGATCATACATTGATGAAGTATATAATGGTGTTGATCTACAATGATTAATTTTCTTAACATATGAAAAGATTTGATTATTGGTGATTACATTTTATTTACATTCAATTAACTTATCTTGTTTAGGTAAAAAAAATGTATAAGAAATCAGTGAATTTCTTTGTTACTTGCCAGTAAGTCCACGAAGTCCAGGATCACCTCGTTGACCTTTAGAACCAGGAATACCTCTTCCAGGTGGACCAGGATCACCAGTTTTGCCCACTTTACCCGGTAGCCCTAATAACGTCAGAATTGAAGAAATAATAGTAACGGAAATATCAGGTTTCGTGTTACCTAGGATGTAATAAATACAATCTGAAAACTATTCATATTTTTAGCTTACGAGAACTGAAATTTCTCCGCTACTGCAGGATTTGACTGTGATTATTTTTACAATGATAAGACCTTAGAGACCTTATTACCATTAGTAAGAAGTTTTTCTACGTAGGAATAGGGTTTGTAATAGTATACGAATGAGTATTATTCCTCAAGAGAATACAACTGCCTCATAGTGAATTTGATCATATATTCTATGTTCCCATACACAAATATTACGAGGAAGTCAATGTAGCTAAACCTTTATTCATAACAGTATTTTAAAATACTTTCAATGAATTTTCCCCCTTAAACCAATATTTATTGGGCCCCATTGAGTCAAATTAGAAATGAATTCAGTAAAAATTCGCGATTGATTCCCACGCATGACTAAATGATTGTAAAATTACGAAACTTGATAGAATTTTATGCTTCGCTTTATAAACTTGAATTCCTTAGTTTGTATGATATGTTTATCTACATTGCAATTATTTAGTTTCTATATTCTTACAATCGAAGAATGATCATGTTCTTACAAGGGTTTCAACAGAATATTAAAAAGTATTATAAGTTACTCTGAAATACAATATATTATTATGATTACCTGTTAAACCTTTTTCACCCGGTGGCCCTCTAGGACCTTGTGGACCAGGATCTCCAATAGGACTTTCCTCAGCTGGTAAACACTGACCAGGAGCTCCAGGGAAACCCTTGGGTCCGGGTTGTCCTCTTGGTCCAGGATCACCTATAGGTCCAATATCACCGGATTCACCTTTATCTCCCTTTCTACCTGGGTATCCATCGAGTCCAGTGATACCCGGTTCACCCTTATCTCCAAATACTCCCATCTGACCTTTGTCACCCACTCGACCTGGCAAACCTCGTAAGCCTTTTGGTCCAGCATCACCTAAATTGTGGTGAGAAGAATGAATAGAATAATGGTAATTATAAAATTATATTGTGGCAAAAATTTCAAGTAGAGATGGATGCACAAACGCCAAAACAGACTGATCATTTTCAGTCTCAAACATCAATGGGAAGATCGAAACAGCCAATATATATGAATTAAAATTGTGTTGAGAAAAAAATTATAAGTACATGGTACATGGTCACAGATTTTATCTGACCTGGAAATCCTCTGTCTCCTTTAGGTCCTGGAAGTCCAGGAATACCTCGTTCTCCCATATCACCAGGTTCCCCATCACGGCCAACTATTGTTTCTCCCGGTTCACCACGTTCCCCTTTGATACCTCTCTGACCCTTCCCCCCTGGAAAACCTTTAGGACCTGGCAAGCCAGGTTGGCCTTCCTGACCGGGTTTTCCCGGACGACCTTGCAAACCTGGCACACCTGGATCTCCCACTATTCCCTGAAAGTAGAAGTTACAAAAGCAGTTAAGATAGAGTAAAGTAACTAATATCTTGAAAAAACAAGCGCAGACATTAGTCAGGTGAACAACTGGAGAAATAGGAGTGATATCTACGTACCTTTGGCCCAATTAAACCTATCACTCCAGGGGAACCTTTAGGTCCAGGTAATCCAGGGTCCCCAGGCATCCCTGGTAGACCTTTCTCGCCGATATCTCCGACATCACCAACATCTCCAACTACTGCTTGACCATTGGTTCCTGCATCACCTGGAGGTCCACGTAAACCAGGTTTTCCAGTAGAACCTTTTTCTCCAACATCACCCTGGGGACCTCGTTCTCCCGTATCACCTTTTTCACCAAGTGATTCTGCACCAGGAAGACCAGATTCACCTTTTGGACCCGGTTGACCTTCATCACCAGGACTACCTACATTTATAAAATGATGAAATATAATTTATTACATTGCTTGTTAAATAGGCTTTGCTTTGTATGTGGACAAAAATCTGTAACATTATTCTCATTTTTGTAGGCATTTAGTCAGTAATCAAATAATTATGATTACCAACCTCCTAAAGAATAGGTGGAGGTATCATATTTGAAGTCAAAAAAAATGTCCAGGAAACGAGTTTAGCTAAAACGATGGTGATAGATCTCGATATTTCTGAAATAATACACAAAGTTACGTATAAGATTTTTACGCTCAACTAAAAGACTCCGTACGAATCGGACACTGGAAAATATCGATACCTATAATGTTTTTTTCACTCGTAAATATAGATGATACAAATGAAGTATTATGAACTGAAAAACTCATGAAGACAAGTGGTTACTTTAAATAGTTAGAACTAAGTGATTAACAATTAAGTGATCTGTCTGATGCAACTATCTTAGTTTAAATCTAAGGCGAAATGATAGATCTAACTGTTCACTGTTTCACAGGAACCTGTATCTAGGTATAGGTGACAAATGAATATTTAATGACGATATTGACCACATGCTTCTTTAAGGAAAATAACCTAGGTTACTATAAAAAATCGTATTTGTCTAGTCATGTTAACAGGATATACTTTAAAAAACTCTCAGCACCACACTGTTGATAAATAAGATAAAAGTTTCTACACTTAAGCTTTTAATTCGTTCCGTTCCTGGATTATTAGAATATTTCCATTAAATAATCCATCCTGTTTTTAGATTAACAAGCTCAAACTCTCAATCACTTTTTCCAAATAAAGTTGGTTAAAAATGTGTACAAAGTGTTATGTTTTTGCGAAGTAACTATTCTTTATACTCTCTTGCTAGACGTTGCTTTCCGACATTCTGGCTTTTCAGAGTCCTGAGGAAGCCAGTCGAAATTCTTATTCATTTGCGTTATTCAATAGTACTCATTTTACCATATAAATCCATTCTATTGCATCATATTTGCAAAGTTTGAAAATTATAAGTTACTTATAAAAATTATCAATCTCCTTGTCAAATACAAAGATAATGCCTCAGTGTACTACCTGGTGGTCCTTCGAATCCTTTTGGCCCAGGTGTTCCATCAAAGCCTTTAGGACCAGTAGTTCCAGGACGGCCAGGAGGACCTGGATCGCCCGAAGGACCATCTGGTCCAGGTAAGCCTGGTTCACCCCTCAAACCTTTTTCACCTGCAAAGAAGGAAATGTAAAAGTAAGATTCAATAATTTTAAGTGATTTGAGGAGGAATAATCATTAACTGTGTTTAACTTCAAATTTAAACTATGGATTAACATACTTTTCAAATTTCAATAAATAATTTTTAAAGAAAAAAGTACTTTAATATGTACATCCAACCACCTACTGTTTTAGGGTGATGTGCGATAAACTGAGTATAGTTTAAAAATAAATGCACTAGTTCAGAAATAATGACGGTTAACTTACCTGTCCGTCCAATTGGACCTGATGGTCCTCTCTCTCCTTTCGCACCTCTTAGTCCAGGTTCGCCTTTCTGACCTTCTGGACCTTCTGGACCAGGAAGTCCAGGTTCTCCTTTGTCCGCTGCTCCGAGACATCTGCCTTTATCTCCAGGTATACCAGGACGTCCAGGCAAACCTAAAATATAATATAGGAGGTATAATTAACTCTGTAGTAAGATAATATTACTAACAAGTTATATTTTACCAGAAATTTCCTTGATATGCTGCTGTACTTAGACTTAAGTTACTCCTTACTAGTGGCAAAATTTTTAAAAGTGGTAAGTTAGTCAAAGTAAAATATGTGTCAACTCATGCACTGCCTCAAAGTTGTTCAATTTTCACTTCCGAAAGTAACAATCAAAAACAGGCGTTAGATTACAATGAACCATACTTAATAATTCAGGTTCAAATCAATTCCAGTAGCTGAACCAGTATCAAAAGACAGATCTATTACTTATAAATGAAATGTTTCTTAAACATAACTTACATATTTCTTATTCCTTTATTAAACATCAGTATTTAAAGTTTCTTGATTCCAATTTTTAGAATTTTACCTATGGCCTCACTAACAGACGTAATACTTATTAAAATGGATACCGTTTAAATAAAAACGGTACACATAACCATTTAATCACGTTTATCTGTTGATTAAACACACCTGGTTCTCCACTATCTCCTGGATCACCCATAATTCCCTTAATACCAGCTCCACCACTTGCACCAGGATCACCTTGAAGTCCCGGCAGACCAATATCTCCACGTTCTCCTGCTAATCCAGGTCTTCCATTTAATCCTATTGATCATAATAATGATATTAACAATATTAAATAAATAAATAAGCAAATGTATTTTATGTTAACTCATTAAAAACAACTCAAAATTAATATCTTATTTTAAAAGTGCATGCAATTACTTGAATAACGGCGTTAAAACATAATATTTCTCTTAAAACATGGGCTATTTCACAAAAGTGCAATAAAATGATTGGATAATAATACTCTTAACTACAACGTAATTTTTACCTGGATCTCCTGAATCCCCAATCACACCAGGGTCTCCTTGTGAACCTCTAGGACCCGGTATACCTGGCCGCCCGGGTTCACCACGTTCTCCAGGGATTCCAGTTCCAGGTTGACCAGGCAATCCTTTTTCTCCTTTTGGACCTGTGGAAGTTATTAAAAGTATTGTTTGTATAAAAACTTTGCATTCAAAACAAGCATTCAAAAATAGATCAATTATTCAACATATGAGCAATGTATAAAATACGTTTTTCACCTTTCACTGATAAATTGATTCATATAGAAGTTTTGGTGATGATATCCAAACCATTATTCATCTTCTTCTCAACATTTAATCATATAAAGAATTTAATCTGAATATCTCCAACTTTAAATAAAACATCACACTCATTCACTCTTAAAATTTCCAGAACTTTTTTTAATTAAAATGATATACCTTTCAAAATCAGTTATTTTACAGTTCCTTAAGTCTCACCTGGGTAACCACGATCTCCTACAGGACCAATATCACCTAAATCTCCTTTCACCCCAGTAACTCCAGCGGACCCTGGTTCTCCTGGGCTACCCTGTTCACCAGGATCACCTAAAAGATGAAACTAGAGTCGTGAGTTCAAGTTTAATTTTTTTTTAAATTAACATTTTATAAAGAAACAGTAACTCTTTTACCAATTAGGAGGTCAGTAAAAGGTGAACTAATATGTATAGTGAAACAATACTATATGATTAATACAACTTTAGTAATTTTAGTAGTTAGTATGTAGAAAATGGTTCAACAATATTTGACCTTGATTACGCATCGCAAAATAAAGCAACTACAACAACCAGTTAGTGGTGATTTTCTTCAAAGTAGAATTCATAATATTGATTACCACATACACCTTTGTTTTTATCATCATCTGTGTGAGAAACTACAGATCATTAATTTAGACAATAAATGTATCTTCATTAATGTTTAAGAAGTTGAACAGATGTACTATCCGCTACACAATAGTTATGGCTGGGATAATAATACAGAAGGATGATAAGATTTATTTTTGTTTATTGAAATATTTCTTATTCTATATGAGATAACATACTATAGATGTAGCTGTTGGAGATGAAATTTATCTTACCTGCTTCACCTACAATTCCTTTTATCCCAGCTGGTCCAGGTATTCCTGGGAGTCCTTTTATACCTCTAATCCCACTATCACCAGGTTGACCAGGTGGACCTTCATCACCTGGTTTTCCTTTATCTCCTCTTGGTCCAGGTTCACCTTTGGGTCCACGATCACCTTTTTCAACTAAACAAGAAATACGTAGATATTAAAAAACAAATGAATGGGTTTGGTGAACTTAGAAAAGAAAGTAGTACATAAAAAAGTTTTGTTTAAAAAAACAATAAGCTCTGTCGTTTTGGCTAATAGCTTGATCAACTAAAATAAAAATGATATATGAAAGTGTATTCACATCTTAAGAGAGCTTATAGATGTATAATTGTATAATACTGAAAATATGTAAATAAATAAATAAATATATTTGTAATATGCCCATGAGTAGAAAAATTATATTTTCTGACGTTTCGTGACTCAGTGTAAGCTACTTCTTCAGGGAATTTATTCTCTTACACTCCGCTTACACTGAGTCACGAAACGTCGGAAAATCTAATTTTTCTACTCATTGGGATATTACAAATATATTATTTTTATTTATAACAATCTGCTCAATGATCAATTTACTAAAAATGATGAAATCAAACTTTGGTAATGATACCTACAAACTCACTGAAAATATGTGCTCATACAGTAAATTATTGAGTTGTTAAACTGTTAAATACTACTTATTTCAGTTTATTTAAATATGATTGCTAACTTAACTGTAAATAAATCATGTAAAAATAGGTGTCTTTTTAAAATCATTTTTATTTATTTTACAAGTCAAATAAATCCTTATCATCAGTCTTTAGCTTTGCGCATGATGTTTTGTTCTCTTGTGTTCAAATTGATGTGTAAATTCAGCCTAGGGTTGTTAAAAGCAGCTAGGGAGTCGAATCGAGCGTTCATTTAGCAAGAATTATCAGTCAATATATTGTTAGATAGTTTATATATTCGTCAACATCTAGTCCGATATGAAAATGAATGTTTTGCAGCTCGGATCGTACAATTAAGTTAAGTCATTGAACACTAACTTGCTCGAAAAATACTACATCTCTCATATTGTATGCGTATACAGGCCATCTTGATCTACTGTATTCAAATTTGAAAATAACCAGTGAAGGGGGTAAATGTATCGTACTAGTTTAGAAATTAGACTTTCGTATATTCAATTATTAGATACGAAACTAAGCTAGTGCTATTGATTTCACGAAACTTCAGATTATCAGTAAAAGCATTTCATATTTTATTCAAAATAATTGGAAACTAGTTACCCATTTAAGCTTATTTGTCACTTAAAATATTGATCAAATGACTAACTCATATAAGTTAAGAATTTCCTGATAAAATTCATGAAGTTTTGGTACGTTTCCTTCTCTAACTTCCCACTAAAAAGAGAAAAATGTTTAATTTTTATTCACTTGTTAGAAAATAGATTTTATGTTCCATAAAGTATTTAGAATCTTTATTTACCAAAAGAACTGTTAATGAACATACCAGTTAGATTACGACTTTGGATAACATTCACAGTACAATTTCCAGGTTCTCCAGAATCGCCTAATTCACCTTTCAATCCAGGACGTCCAGGTTGACCTTTTTCACCTTTATCACCGAATCTAACATCAGCTGTCGCACCTTTGTAACCTTTTTCGCCTAGTATACCTTTAGGACCTTTCTGTCCAGGTAAACCTCGTAAACCAGGGTCACCCTGAAGGGGAAAAAACAGTTCACATTTATATAATATTAACAAACAAATTAATTATCACCTTTTAATGCCTGACAACATTATAAATATGAGCTACATCTATTCTATATAAATCAACAGAAAATAGATTTAATGAAATATGCACTAAAAATCCTACAGGTAGTCAATAATGCATATAACGGAGTAATTTTTACAAGTACCAACCTGTGGTCCTTCTAATCCACGTTCTCCTTTTTCCCCTGGAGAGCCTATAATACCCTTGATCCCTTTGTCGCCTTTGACTCCATCCACACCTGGATAGCCTTTAGGGCCTTTTAGAATTCCAGTGTATTCTGTTCTTGTTTCACCTGGTTCACCTTTGAAACCTTTTGGTCCAGGCAGACCATGTTCACCCTGGTCACCCTAAAGAAAGATTAAGAAATCAAATAATACATGATGAAATTTATGTACAGCTAACGATAAAATAAAGTAATAGTAATGTCAGGTAGTCGTATAAACGATGATTAACATATTTAATATGTGTAATAACTAATTATATTGATTATCTAAGGTAAATATCACACAATATTTGCATTCGCACATAGGGACAAAAACAAAATAACTTCTAGAGTATTGGTCCTAGTTAGTTCCTTCAAGCATTTCATTAGAGTACGATTTACGGTAACTATATAATCTAGAGAAGTAATAAACTTTAATGAATTATTGGTGAAACAACTTCTGGAAAGGCAACTTATTGACCGAAGTACTCAACTTTCGACCAGTAGGTCGCACGTCTGAACTCGGTCCTCCTTATGTCGACTACAATAACCAAATTGTTATAATGTGAATATTTTGATAATAAACTAGATACAATTATTCATGATAAAATCGAGTGGTTATTTATTTGTACTTCTTGGGGTTTTGTAGGCTGAAGTCAGTAAATGATCTAGTCTTTCTGTGTTCTTTATATCGAACGAAAAGATGTCTTAACACAAAGCGGTAAAATTAACATCTGAGTAAACTTACTTCATAACCCTGTGAACCCGTACGACCTTGATTCCCAGGAGCACCGCGACTTCCTCGTTCTCCTTTGGCACCATCTCGACCTCGTGGACCTGGAAGACCAGATGGACCGATATCACCTTTTTCACCCTTTGCCCCAGGTATACCAGGTATACACGCACTGCATCGTTCTCCAGGTTCACCTAAATATTTAGGATTAGCAGTAATGTACCAAGTATACAGTGAGTTTTAATATTATTCGGTACTAATCAGTTATATGTTCAAAAACTTGGAATTATACTTCCTTCTGGCTAAACCACTTGTATGTTGATAGCTACTTTCTAAGCTAAAATGCTAATAGTAGGTTAGTTTATTGGTTCATCACTGAAACGATCATTTATTTTTTTGGTCAACGTGTTACTACTTATTAAGTATAGCCAATCAGTTACTTTAGTTTCACGAGCTACTATCAGCTAATAGGGAACAGTGTTCATAAACCATTTTCTGTGAAAGTTTATCAATATTCCAACCGGTTTTACATTATGAGATTTAATCCCTACGTATTGATATGATTTCTTCATCATTACTTAATACAATAGTTATTTACGTTACCATGTTAAAGTTAAGAAGCACTCCTCAGTAATTTATATAATTAACTGACCTTGAGGCCCCATTGGACCTTGTTTTCCATGTTTGCCAGCTAAACCATCCAATCCACGTTCACCTTTTTCACCTGGTGGACCAGGACGACCAGATCCTTTAGTACCTGGCAATCCACGTTCACCCTTTAAACCCTTAGGACCTTTCGGACCTTTAAGAAAAAATCGACAACGATTTATTACATGACAAAGTATATAGGTAAATTTGAAGAGTAGGTATACAAATATGTGTTGTTTGATCATATGTTTATCCTAACATCAGATGGATGCCCGAATAAACTTATCTCTGTCAGAATAAAAATATTACCATTGCTATATAGTTTCTTGTTTGTTTGAAATTGTCCATGTTTTTATAACTTTTGCCAAAGTAATAACGCCAGAGCTTTAATGAAGATCAGATAAATAGTAATTCAAATTGGAGGTAAAATATGAAAGGAACTAAGAATGCTAGACTAGTTTGTAGTATGATATATATTACTGTCTAGATGCCATGATTCAACTGGAATTCATCAACACACTATAAAAATGGATACTTACAGAAACATGTTTAATAAAATTAATTGTATATTTGAAGCAATGCAAGAAAATACAATAGGATGAATTCCTTATACACATATATCTATTCCACTCCATGAATGGAATTACAGAGATATTAAACATATATTCACTGTTATTACCAGGTATCTTTATTATATACCCACTCTTAATGATATTTTACCCGTACACTATCCATAGTTAATTTCATTAATTTCAATAAAATATATTCAAATCAATAAGCTACAAAACAATCAAAGACATATGTAAAAACAGACTTATCACAATAATTTTAGCTATTGTTCCTTGTTCTGTGTTTTTGTTTTCTTCCATCTAGTTGTAGATGAATTACCTTCACTATACTATTCTTTCTCAGACATGACGTCATAGTCCTCCTACTAAGAAAGTGTCCTTTTAAAACAATTAGTGAACGTCTTTTCCGATAAATTACCCTAATATCTCTGTCCCTTTGTGTAGCAAAATGATCATGCTTTCAAATCAGAGTATCTTCTGTAATTCTTTCAGAATATAACTAATTTAATTTAATAATCATGCTAATGATGAGTTTAAAATTATTGTGTTCGAACCATTTATTATCATAAAACTATTCGTATTTATAATATCGAATATTTTGAGTAAAATCTATAACCGTACATTAGAATGACTATCAGTTATTGACATCAGTTGAATGATTTAAGTTAGATAAATCGTTAAATCTTAACGAAACTTTTCAATGTAGTAAGCAGATGTATTCAAAAATTAATGTTGTAATTGATATAGGATCTCTTGACTAGTCCAAAGTAAACAAAAAATTTATAATTATCTCAAACATATATGGTCTAAAAACATAGATTTGAAAGTATGTTAGAAAGTTCGCTACTTGTCATTCAAGCTTCTGATTTAAAACTTCAGTAACTATGGAAATGCAACTCACCTTGAGGCCCATCATAGCCTCTATCTCCAGGATCACCCGATGCACCTCTGTGGCCAATACCCGGTTCTCCTTTATCACCTGGTAGTCCATCATCACCTGGACTCCCAGGTAATCCAGGTAGGCCAGTTCGTCCGTCATCACCTGAAAGAAATCATCATGTGGTGAACGATAAATTTACTTTTATTCATAAATGTTGAGAAATAAATTAAAATATAGTATGAGTTAGATAGTTGGTATCTTGTGATACTTGTAAAAGATTGTTGGTTATAAGAATAATTCTTATTATTCAGATTTCAGGTATAATAATAACCATCCGTCTGATTGGGACTTACTGACAATATTAGGTGTATGAGGATCATTTTGAACTAAATATTTTATTTACCAGGTGATCCTTTTGGACCCGGTGGACCAGGTGGTCCAATGGGACAGTCAAATCCAGGGTCGCCAACCGGTCCTTGTGGACCAACCAAGCCTTTCAGTCCCCTGTCTCCTATGGATCCAGGAATTCCAGGAAATCCTTTCTCTCCAGCTTCTCCAGGTATACCACGTTGTCCAGGTCTTCCAGGTAAAATACCTGTGCATTCTGTGGTACCCTGAAACGCATTAAAATGAGTTGAAAAGTGTTTTTTATCAGACAGAATAGTATTCATAACTGTAGAAACATGTTTTTAGTTTCCAATTGTTTACTATGAGGAAAATATAGTTAGTCTGAAACAATTTTGAGGTTTTATAAGGGCACATTCACAGAGTTATCACAGAAGCTATTGATGCGTTCGCATCATATGTATGTCATCATAATTATTAACACGGCTATCTCATAAATGGATAGTCTTGTGACTGAAGTATTTTCGTTTCGACTTCTCGTTTAGTGCCATTTCTAAAATGCTTGTGGAGTAAATAATTGTAGCCACTAACTGGAATCATCAGGAAGGACGTTGAAAACTAGGTGAAAGTGAACAGCTATTACATACTAGTCTAAAGCTTTTTAACAGTGTACATCAGTCACCTGAAAATAAATAAAACTAAGAAGCATGCTATGATCATGATTCAGATAGAAAGCTGCTGTAGAACTTCTTGATTTGCATTTTTAACTACAGCTAATCCACGACCTGGTATGTCTGTAATCCATTACTGTCAACGATAACTGTCTTTCACAGCACAGTCAAACTCCATTACTCAGATACTCAATAGTCCCTGATTTTCAGTGGTTCTCCAGTTGATGACAATCCGTGATCTGAACTATTTCCAAATCTAACTTCCACAAGCCTCTCAACTTAACATATGACTTTGTGTTAAAATTTCCAATAACATGACGAACATTTTGTAAATTAGTTATTTTAATCTGCCATTCGCTTTTCTAGGATAAAGCTCCTCAATAATGAATTCGAGTTTTTTTAACACGGGACATTTTGTGATGAATACTCTTATCAATGAGACCTTCCATATTTAATGAAGGCATGAACCTAATGACCTCAGTCCAAATGATAATAAACTAATGTAATTACAGTGATCAAGGTTTCCACCAAACAAATTTTTTTACTTACCCCAGGTTCACCAGGATCTCCAACAAATCCACGTAGTCCATCTGCCCCTGGATCTCCAGGTAAACCTTTAGGACCTGGAGGACCACGATCACCAATCAAACCATCACGTCCTTGACCACCCTAAATCAAATTATTCGAAGGATTCGTTAGTTGTAGTTCAAATAACCGGCTCATGTATAACAGTTTTTACATTTTGTCGTTAAAAATGCGGCATTCGTAGCTTTTTCTTTTATTCAGTATGATGAAAAATGTTGATCTTGATGTTAGTTTAGATTAATAAAATAGGTTCACTTCCAATTATATTTGAACTTTCCAGTTTCTTTATTATGATGTAGTAATAGATGAATATTTTCAATACTTAAGTACCTAGTAACGATAAATCTTGTTTAAAATCACTTGGTTCTGACGATAAATCTACTATTAAGAGGATTAGTATTAGCCTATATAACAAGATCTGTGCTAACAAGAAATCATTTTAAATTTTTGACTGTGAACAAAATTTAACAAAAACTTGTGGGCTATCTCAATAACAGAATGACGTCTTTTGTTATGACGTTTTTCAAGTAAAACAATGTGCTTTTATTCTGTACACAGTTTTTTACCACATTTATAGTTTGACAGGTTAACTTACTTTAACACCCGGTTGTCCTGCACTTCCTTTAATGCCTTTAGGACCCTGGAAAAAAATGGTGAAAGGAATAGCAAAGTAAATCATACTACTTGTAAATAATAAGTAGTGTAAAATGTACCAGACCTATTTTCAGATATTTATTTACCATCAGTGCTTTAATTGATACACATTTTTCAGAAATTTTCTTATTGAGTAATTCATCCTTTGGTATCACCCAATTTGTCGTCACTTATATCATGACTCAGTACATATATTTTTATTTTCAACTCAAAATTTAACTACTGTAAAAAACGCTGATAGTAAAACAGATATATGTATTACTAACAATCACAAAATCTTCAGATAAACGTTTAATTTAAAAATATAGAATTTCGTATTTATTTTATCATTCTTTTAACTTACCAGAGGCCCATCGGGACCTGGAAGTCCTTTCACTCCCGGCAAACCAATAGTTCCATCTATGCCCTATATAAAAATTGATAAAATATTCAATAACCAGTTTTAGACAATCAAGTTTATTATTATTATTTCAATGAGAGTATCGTGTAATATGTTGGAACAATGATCTTTTATGGTTTGAGGAATTCTTTTGGAAAATCATACTTATTCTATCGTATTCAAACCCACAAGTAGTATTTCCACAACTGCTTACGTTTAATACATGGATAAAGAATGTACTAATAGTTTTTTCATTACATAATTGAAAAGAATCTCAAAAGATTTGTGAAAACAAGTTGAAACGTATTTCTCCACAAACAAATAACTTTACTTTTGTTACAACAAGCCGGATTATCAGCTACTTTATGTCATACATTTTATTATTGATTAATAAATTGGTATGTGACAGATAACTAGTTCAGTCACACCACTCCCGTTTGTTTATAAGATAAATAAACTTCAATTTAGAAATTCAAGTACCAGAATAGTTGACCAGTGGTGTTGTCATTAAAATTCTATTTTGTTAGAATGAGGGGAATAATTTCATGGGCATATAATCAGTTTGAATAACTCAGTCATCTCAGTATTTTACCAAATCAACTAAGTTTTAATGATTCAATTTCAAAATAGAACACAAGTTCATTAACACTAAAAGGCAAACGTTATGTGGTTGAAGATCTATTTGACTCTGATCTGCTGTAAGACAGAAGGTCAGTCAAAGATGGAATTTCCCAGTGGCAAAGTCTCGGATTGCGAAGCTTGGTGACATAGAGTCGAACCTGACAGGAAGCACCAGGTCATCGAAGGCAGAATAAATACCCTGATGATTAGTGTCAAATAGCATCAAATCAGGTCTAGAATTTCCTATCGACTACATTCGAACATCCGTAATTTCAACCTAGAGCACGTGATATAAAATCAGGTAGACTAGCAACCTCAGTGCTACTTCATCTATAGAATTCGATCAGTAGTAAAAGGGCTAAAAAAACATGACAATGACCCCTGCCTAATGATCAAACAGTTGTAACTTAAGGATAAATCTTGTTTATCGCAATATGAAATAGGCTTCTCATAGTAACATAAGTACAAACAATACATTTGTAAATGACTCTATACACTTACTCTTATTCCTTTCGCTCCTTTGGAACCTGGATAGCCTTTAGGACCAGTATCACCCTATTAAAAACAAAAATAAAGATAAAACAAAATAGTTTCTAAATTTTCCATTTTTAATGCTTTTCAACATTTCATTATATTTTTCAGTATGGGGTTGTGTAGAATGTTGAATTTCATTGAAACTGTTATAATTCTCTCTTACGGTTATAACCCAGCTTAGTATTCTCAGACACCGATTCACTCGACAAGTCCCCAAATCAGAACACGGTTGAACAGGAAAAGAGATTATATTCCAAACAACAAGGTTAGATGGAAGTAAGAAGCACAATAGGGAAAACGTTAGTATATTTATAGTTTTTCACATGAGATTTCTAGTGTTCACTAAATATTGGCTAACGCTGATTGGATAAGAATTAGTCAATCAGCGTGCAGCAAAGCAATCGTGTATTGAGTATGCTTTAATTCAGTCTATGTCCCGCTAACAGAAACCATAAGCATTAAAATTACCACAGGTAGATACTGGTTCATTGGTTCAGAGATCAAGTGTCCGAGTCCCGTGTATGAACGCGAATGCTCACTGATGAGGAGTCCCACACTAGGACGAAATGGCAGTCTAATGCTTTTAGGTTTAAAATTGATCGATTTGTGGTTTCAATAAGGTTTCATAATATGTGTAATATAGATAAGTAAAGTGAAACAACAGTGGATTTCTAGGAATTAAAAAAATTAGTGATTTCATTATAAATTAATGGTTGAGAATGGGATCATAATCTGTTGATACCAATTGATGACGGTCAGGACTGGCCCACAAAGTTATGGGGGATAAGATTTAGCTTATCCCATTTCTAATTATTTCAATTCCAAATGGTTTTCTGTATACCTTATACTAATCCAACACATAGGTTGAGATTGATGGGAAGAATAGCTTTGTGCAAATCTGTAACAATTTCGTACATTCTGTAAAATAAGTAAATACTTATCAAAAATAACACATACTCGATCGCCAGCAGGTCCAATTAGAGCTTTACGGCCTTGTTCCAACGTGGTAACTGAACAATTTCTGCCTGGATCTCCAGGATCTCCAGGTGCACCTGGGGCACCTTTTACAGGTGTATAGGTGTCAATGATACTTTCTCCGGGTTCACCAGCTTCGCCAGGTACACCGAAGTCACCATCTTCACCCTGTTATCGAAAATAAAGATTTTCAAAAATATACTTTATTGAGGAAGATTCTCAGAATATGAATCATAGAAATCGAAAGATCATACATTCTGAAAGTGTTTATCCAAAAATTTAGACTATTCTACAAAAATTAAAATTTCTTTCAAATCAGTCCAGTTAAATCAAAAATAAAACATGAATAAAACCCTGTTTATTAATTAAGCAGAACCGTAAAAATCGGATTTCAGTCATTACTACTCTGTTTAAGCAATATTAGTATCGTGCACACAAAAAGTGACATTTTTAAATTACTCAACTCATTGTGCTTTAATTAGGTGGAATGCACTAACATTTATGTAACATATATACCTAATTCAATCAATATATAACTTTTTATTTACATATCATTACAGATTCATAGTTTCTGATGGAGTTTTGTTCTTTGAGCTAGATGGTTTGGTCATAGATCCTTCATCGTTCTTCTGAACGACATCATCAACACAAACCATCCAGCTCAGAGAACAAAACTCCATCGAAATCATCCACCTAAACTACAAATCTTCTCTACCATTTCAGATTCATAGTTATTATGGCTGTCTATTTAGTTCATTTAAATTAATAGTTCACGTATTTAATGGCATTTTTAAGATTCCACCACAAATCAATATTCATCCTGTATATGTGTTACTTGAATAAAAAAAAGAACAGAAAAAGTTTTTTGAAAAAAAATGCTTAAGCTTAAGCAAACATGAAATGTTTATAATTAACTCATTTTAAGTTAAGTTAGGTAGACCGAAGTTTAATTCATCGATGTACAGTGACTATCCAAGAGCAAACTTCATGAACGAAAACAGTTATAGATTGAATAACAATAGTAACTAACTGAAGTAACTATTCAAGAAATAGAACTTTGTATTTAAAGAAAATCATGATTAATCAGTTATTTACAGAAAAAGTAAAATATTACAATTGACTGTGAAAAGTAATCCTTTTAAATATTGAAGCTCAACCATCCAAAACATTATAGTTCGAAAGTTAAATTTATATAAAATATACATTTAGCTAATTAATCAAGATCAATCATAGTTGTGAAACGATATTAGGATCTAATAGTAAACTATGAAAATTGTTTCTACCTCTACAAATTCTGTCATCACAATCTACATTAGTGAATACACTAATGAAATAATATAGTGATCATTTCTGATATAAAAGCATCTATTTGTGAATATATACTACTGAAAAGTCTCAAAAACAAGATGAAATAGTTACTCAGGACTTTCAAATATGACTAAATCATTTTTAAATAAAGAATAGAGCAAAAAATTAATGAAAGATAAACTGTAGAGTATTCTTACTCTGTCTCCTTCTAATCCAGGCAATCCAGGGTCACCACGTTCACCTTGAATTCCATCATCACCCTAAAAGAATAGTAAAAATAACTAGGTAAAAAATGGATGGTTGTATCTAAGGTTCGACCAGTAATTTAATCATTTCATCAGTAATCTAAATGGATATTTATTCTTTTTTCCAATGTACCGTAAAATTTCAAAAATGTACTGTTGAATGTGTTCGATAAAGAATCTACCTAAAAATCATTTATTTATTTATTTAAATATGACAACAACTTTATCACTTCATAGTGAATTGCTTCTCGAGAAAAAAAATGTATTTATCTGCCTAGTTATGAGAAACGACATTATTAATGTAACAAACTCTAAAACTGTAACCATCTTGTTTATGTAAGAAACAACAATGGTAGAGTTAAACGCTTTGTACTAACTTCAACTAGCTAACTAATGCTCCACTTTCAAGTCTTTCGTATATCTGCTTACTTTCAAAATCACGGCAGTTTCTTGTCAAATTCATATTTATTGTATGAATAATGCAAACTGTTATCCATGTTTTCTTTACACATTAGTAATGATATATCACAATATTTCATTAAAAACAATTTCTTTAAACATTTGGATGTTTCTTATTTTCTAAATGCTCATAGATAAGTTACATGAAAATCAGTGTGATTTATAAAATTGTTGAGTTCTTTGAATACTTAACTCACTTTTGGACCAACATTACCAGGTTCTCCTTTCGGACCCTAAGGATTAGATAAAAAAACAAATGGAAGCAAGAATCAACTGGATGATGTACATGGAAATAAAGACAATCATATTTAAAAGCGGAATATAAAATTTTTATAGTACAGACCACATATGTATACAAATATATTGGAAACAATGTGTACATTAGCGACCATTCAGTTTGAAAAGTAACTGAATATCGGCTATTCAGTCAGATTTAGGCAATAGAGGACTTGGGATATATATATATATATTCCGAAAACAATATAACGGATAAAATTTTATACATCGTTTCTGAAATTCTCGATTACATGTGTGATTAAAAACAGAACTAACTGGTAGTCCTCGTCTCCCGAATCCAGATTCACCAGGATCACCACGTTCACCATCGATACCAGGCAGTCCTCGGTCACCATCCATACCCTGTCTTCCAGGTTCACCTTTTTCACCTGGATCACCCTAATAAAAAAACACCAATACAATAAGTTTAAGTGAAGCTGTGGTATAAATATATAGCTGAAGATTTGGTGAATGAACTCTCATATAATAACGGATTTTGAGTCGATAATTAGGTTGTCGTGATGCAAAATAAACATAATAAATAAATGTGTAAAAACTCGTAAAAATTACAATGAAGAGAAAAGTGAATAACTTTATGTACTACTAGTTCACCATATGAGTGAATCATGTGTGGATGGAGACAACACTTACTTTTCCTCCAGGGCAACCAGCAATACCTTTGGCACCTTTTTCACCTGTTTCTCCACTCTCACCCTGTAAGTAAACAATAAAAATCATTTGAATTTTGTAAATACAAAAATAAATATTTTTCAATAACTAAAACAACTTTTAAAGTGTTAATCAAAAGAGATATATTCTTGATAGGTTGTTTTACTCACATGTTCACCATGCATTCCTGGTGAGCCGAAATCCCCTGATGGACCCTGCGAACAAAGAATAAGAAAATAATGGTTCCTATAACATATATAATAATATAAGTTTGAAACAAAAAGATACTGGAATTTCAGTTCAAAAATTTATAAATGAATTAGTTTCATGTAGTTTGTAGTGGTTAGTTGAAGTACACACCGAGTACCAAGAGAAACTACAATAGATTTAAAACGAAATCACTTTTGTAGATTATTCTATAGCATTACTAAAGAATTACATTCAATGTTTTATTTTAAATATTTTTTTGTTATTGTAGTTTCTAACTCACTCAACCACATAAATAAGAGAGGAAACGCTAAAATACCATAGTTTATAGACCTCAACACGTATAAAACTGGGAGATTCTTGTTACAGAGCTGAATGAATTGATTTATATTAAACAATGATAGATATATGAACAATTATTCGGTGAAAAGAAGCCTATGCAATCAAGATCGTATGCAAACAGCATAAACCAACTAGGTAACAATTATTTCTTTAAAATACATCAAGTAATTTAGGAAAACAGCAACTATGCGATTTCCATAGTTTTCTTAACAGATTGAAGTTAATGATAATTTGTATGCTAACCATAAAATTTGTCTAACTTTATCATCAATTTATATTGTCAGTATGTGAATATATTAATTATTAGTCAAACGAAAATAAAAATTTTCCAATGGTTAGCACGACATAACTACATTATCATTCATCTACGTTAGAATGTTGAGCGAGACTATAATTTATGGACGAGCCAATCAGGTCTAAGATAATAGGTCTCGGATTTTTGGCGCAAAATTCACTCATCCATTTGGCTACATGGCGTCTTGGCATTATAGCTGATGTCAGTTCATGATGAGAACCCCAAGTCTAATTACTAACTATCAACTGCAAATCATAATTCTAATTCCTTACACAGGTTTATAACCCACATTTGGTGCAAGATATTAAGTGGATAATCTCAAGGTCAGACTAGCCCAAAGGTCGTCCATAAATTATAGTCTCACCGAATGTTGATATTAATATTGAATTATACTATACAATGTATTACTATGTTAAATATTGATTAAAAATATACTCAAAAATTAAATTAACTTGAAGTTAAAAACAGTGGAATTATAGTGATCCAGATGAATTTGATGAGCTTTTTACTTTCATTGATTCATCATTCATAGTGAATATTAGTGTACAGCTTAAATGCACAAAACAATAATGGTGTCAATTATACAGATATTTATACTTTATACGAATACTCGTTAAAATCTGAATGAACATTTTCCATTGAAGAAGTTCGAACCGGAATCCTAGATGAAACGACGGACTATTTAAACACAATTTATGCATTTAAGTCATTTATACTGTTTGGATATCTCAATCGCCATTATCTATTTGATTATTTCATACTGAAACATGTGCGTCACCGGTATAAATAAATGAATTATAACCCTTCTTTATACTTACTCTTTCTCCAACAGGACCATCAACTCCATCTTCTCCAGGATCACCTTTCATACCTCTTAGTCCCGGTGGTCCTTGTTCACCTGGATAACCTTTAGGACCGATAGGTCCAGGTGGACCTCGAGGACCTGGGTCACCCTAAATACAAGATTTTAAAAAGTTCGAAAGAAAAATAAGTTTCTCAATAACAATTAATATAAATGAAATCAAAATTCATTTGATAAATTTGCTTACCTGTGGTCCTTGTGGTCCAAAACATCTGCAAAAATTGTAATCACATCTTACGGAACAATCGATATCTCGACGAAATTGCTGAAAATACATAAATGATAATAAAACTGTATCCATTTAATAAACTACATACCGATTGTGCAAAAGGAATTCCACTGAAAGTAATGAACGTGACCAGAAATATAAATGTCCTATAATGAAAGAAAACGAAACGATCGGAATGAATAGAAATTAAATTAAGCAGTGAATTTTGATGTTGGTTTAATTTTTTTCTATATATAAACTTACAAAAGTTTTGCTCTGATATAATGAAGATCAATATTGTTTGCCTGTTTCTGTCGTGACAGCAACAGCATATGCATTGGTCTGGATTCTGTTATCAATAGTAATATTCTACACGTATATAGAAAACAAGACAATAAAAAATATCAATTCTTATCACAGACAGAAAATTTTACTACTTAATTAAATCATGAAATAATGAAAAAGACCTAATCGTTCAGCAGATCTTTTTGGTAATGTTGGATTATTTGAGATGTCAACTTAGATTTGATATATCAACCTATACGAACAAGGTTACCTACTCACATGATCACAAGTTAACCTAATAAGACAAACCACATATATGTAGATCCATGTGAAGAAAATAAACCCTGAGAAGTCAATTAATAATAGCTGTGTGGTAAGAATGTATTTATTTGGCACTTGTGGAGTAGTTTTAAAAAAGCTCGCTTATATTTCAATCAGATTCCGACACAATAGCTCATAATGACACTAGAAGCTCATTAATAAAGCCAACTAACTCAGAAAACATAAAAGGGATTAAAAGCGGGGATTTTTTTATCCGATTTAGGTGTCAAAGATAACTTGAATTAAAATATGTACCAAATAAGAGACTTATAGTAATGTGTAAAGTCACACACTAACACAGAATGAGAAATAATATCATGTTTGATATGATTATATATGAGTATATTCTCGTAATGAATAACGAGTGAAAAACAACAGTGAGTTCAGATAACTCAAACAAGACATGTATATCCCACCTCATTAGTGGATCATAGTCTATTAAGTCTGTATCTAGAACAAGCATCTATGTATGCTGGGAAGTATAAGTTCCCATTTCGATCAATATTAAGAGAGGATATTATAGACGTATAGATGCATAGATTTAAGAATTATGTACAAACTTGGGACCATGAGTATCATAACCTTCTGAAGTTTGATTAAGGAATTCCAGTAAATTCATTTGACAGAACTTAGTATCATAGTTTGATGTTACTGTTTCGTATCTATTAATACCATGAATGATAGTTTCATTCACAGAAAATTCCAGCTTTCAAAGTGATAAATTTCTTGACATTTAATTTGAATGTTACATCCAATAACCTTTGAAATTAAATGATAGAATGACTAAATTAAAAATCAAATTACAGCTGACAATATCAGATATTACATTTCAGTATAGAATCTCAAAAGCAGAAAGGTTATTTTTACACTAACTAATGATAGTGACCTCCATATGTGGCGAGAATTACTTATATCCGCATAAGTAGTATATAACAATGGTCAGGCGTAGAATGTATTTCAGTAGAAGATCGAGAAGGAAATAACAGCAACAGAGAGCAATCAGTATGAAAATGCATGAACAATGAAATCTAAGATGATGGACAAAAGAAACCTTCCATTTTTGAGACAATTGATTGAAATTTTGCGAATTAACTATTTACTGTATAGGTCTCAGATTTCAGTGAGATATTCTGTAATTTTGTGCTCAAATACATTCGATTGTCCACACTTGTGTTGTTTGTTCACTACACATATTGAAATGGGATAAAATTGACAGGACATAGAACATCTTGCATATAACCACTACTAAAATTTTTATGAAACTAAGTTATTTCAGTATTTATAATTAGATTTTTCTTAATAAAATCTATAAATATTTACGGTAAACTAACTAACTTTAAACACAAACTACTTATAAAATGTTTAAATTCGAAAAATACTACTTAAATAAATCATACATACATTCACATACATAGTTTGGAAAGAAAAAAATTATTAAATTACAGTAAAAACCTTTATTATTACTACTAAATATTATCAATATAATTCATAATATTAAAGAATCTGTATGTAAATATTGTTATAAATATTTCAAAAGATTAAATATTGATCATTCTTCTATATCATATTGTATTTCATATATATATCATGCTTATTATGACTAAAATTGAATATGGCGCTTTTAAATTTTTGATTTAAACAAAAAATTTAAAATCAAAATCAATAAGCACATATAAGCAAAGATATTTCTGGTTTTTTTTTAAAAAAAGCGTGTCATTTTCAATAAAACGAATAATAATACAGAATAAATTCAAAAAAAATTTAAAGGGTATCAATATCAAGTAGCCTATTTAAACAAAAGAATATAAAATGGAGAAAAAACAAATCAACTTTTAAAATAACCACGTAATAATGAATAAAAATTGTTAGTTGAAAGAAAATTTTAGAAAGAATGAAAAACAGAAAGAAAAATATAATAAGAAATGGAGTATATATGGATATAAATGTTGAAGATTAATTAACCTGTCGACATGATGTTATTCTTTCATTTATTTTATTTCCTATCATTTATAGTTTTTCAAATAACAAATGTATTTACTCTGTATGTATATTTATTCATCTATGGATATGAGTACTATTTATTTAAGCAGGAATTTTCATACAGACTCGACATTTACTAACATTATTCAAAACTGGCCCTTCAGCTGCTTTCATAACAAAACCTACTGGTTTCTCAAATTGTGTAATGTTTGGATTAAGAGCCCTTAAATAATAAACTTTTGCATCTGACCAATAATGGCACATTCCTACATTATTATTACATTCAATAACTGGTGAATAACGAAAATGTTCCATACAGCTTCCAGGTGAAGATAATTGTTGGCCTCCACCATGAGCACCAGAAGTATGCTAGAAATAAAGAGATGAAGTAAAAGCATAGTTAAACTGTTTTTAAAGTATATTTGAAAGAGCTATTGCAAATATTCATTTAATAAAAGGAACATATCAATTAGAACGAGAACGCTAAACCCAAAACTGAACTATGGGTACAATAGGTTATGTTGAGTGATTTTTAAAGATGACAATTCGAATATAGATCTAGTCAAGGTTTAGCAAACACTGGAAAAAAACCAAAAAATGCTGGACAATTGTTACATTTTATTTTTGATACTCCTCATGAGTGAAACAATTTATTCCACATCAACAGTTGGAAAATATGGTTCTCGTCGTAGTACTCAAAGCTATTAAGTTCAATCTTATATGAGGTTATGTTTACATATTACTAATTCAGGAAGTGAGGGGAGACAGATATCCCTAGTTTTCAATGGTCCGTTACCTGGTGTCACTCTGCATTATTGATGGAATATAACTTTTAACCAGTTTCTTCCCTTTAACAGACAGAATTTTTACTGTGATGTTAGGTATTTGGAGGTAGTCGGCAGGAACTCCTGCTTTTGCGTTAATTAGTACTCGCCACTGAGGTTAATCTAAAACGTTAAGGCAATGGTGCTCCCTGTAAGATTTGAACCGAGGTCACCCATTTTCATAATCCGAGATTTTGCGACTGAGTTATTCGAATCAAGCGATGTTGAGTTATTCAGACTAGCGACCACCATTTGACATGATCGGTAAAATTTGATGTGAACTAAGAACTTGAAAAAAATGACATTTGTTATTATTCAGTGACTGAACAATTTAAAGCTTATGCTGATTAAAGCAGTTGAGGAGATAATATGATATAATCAAAAGACTTTGAAATTAATGGATATCACTGTTACTTGTTTATGTCAAGTACATATTGATTACGATATCTAGCATATGAATAAAACATCATTGACTTAAATCTTAAACAGCTGATGGAATGAAAGTACATTACAAGTGGAAGGAGTAAATATAAAGTTTTATTCATTTACAAATGAATTAATATATATCCCAAATAGATTTCTACCGACTTACTTTACCGTCTTAGTGTTAGGATAGTCGGAAAAATATACCAATAATTGTCGTGTTAAATCTACGGCGGCCTTGAACCTTAAATGTACATTTCTTATTGGTCGATGTTTATTTCACTTGTTAAATATTTTGTAAATGTTGTTCCTATTTTATGGTACGATGTGGTATGCTTGATTGGTATATAAACAAAGTATGTTTGAAATATAATGATTCATAACTCAGAGGCTGTGACTTGTGTTCTTGATTCAACTGGCTGGGATAGACAGCGAAGCAGGGCCAATCAGGGCACTAGGTCGTCCTTACATGTTTACGTGTCCACTGTCACTGTAGTCGATCGATAACGCTGCTTACCAAAACCTGCAGTCACACACGTTACAACACTTAGGAATTTCGAAAATATCAAATAACTTACAAGTATTAAACTAACACCTGTCCACAATTCAGTCCAAGTATTCGGACATGGTTGTAATGTTTCACCTTGACTGTGAAAAGCAAACACATGTGCAGGAGCTTCACAGACTACACATCTAGCAATTTGATCAGCCGTTTGATCTACTGGAATCGGTTGTTCAGATCGAGGTACCAATGTGGCCAACCAGTAGGATCGTTCATGCCTCATACTTGATTGACAAGTTGTATCTCTTTCACATTGAGTCATTGGTAATGAACTGAACTTTGACAAACATGAACTTGGTGTACCTAAATATGGATTTTGAAAAGTCCATTTGTATCAAAAAAATATAATTAACCAATTACTCGACTGTAAATGCTGTTTTTTAGTTTAAAATACTGAAGTCCGACTATTGGAGACAGCTCATAACTCTTATTTTCAGAAACGATTTGACAAGGTAATTAATATTCATCGTTTAACAAGTGACCTAAAGAATATTAGTCCCATACTAAGATAGTATACATATTATACTACATTTTTAAATTTAGAAAAAAACTTGAAAGGGTGTTAGTGGTCATTTCCCATTTTCATTTTCATTACAGTCTATATGTTTCTAACTTTGACACCAGTAAGAAATATTTCACCAAATAATTATACAACGAATAGAATGATACAATGAAACAGAGGTATATGAAGTGTCAGTATGGGAGAAGGAAATGACTGATTGATTAAAAACAACAGGTACACCATTAAGGAGGAAATTATTTTTATGAAAAATCTCAGCCATAGAACTTGAAACGAATTCAGCGTTTCCGTCGGCATTCTGGTCCAAGTTTTTTCAAGGGAAATAATCAAATATCAAAATTCTCGACTATAAATACATCGTTCACATATTAACTGTATACTAAACGAATTGTCTAATAATGTTAACAATGATGATAGTGAGATTTGTCACTGGGTATATGAATCAGTTAATGTGAAGAAATTGTGTGTGGATCTGATGCGAGAAACTTCAATGTGTCTAAAGCGCCTCACTTTGATAGATATTGTAAATCGAATGTCACAGCATGCAAAAAATGAAAACAAATTAACAGTTAATGTAAGTTTGTGTTGTTGTATTAAACCAGCTAATTGTTTATTGTATGTTCAAATAAATTAAATGATTAGAACAAATAAAAGTAATCATTATTGTCCACATGATAAAAGACTAATTGAAAGAAATAAAATGTAAAATGAAATTCAGATTCTCCTACTAATTAATAGTTATCATGGGATAGCTAATTATATTCCATCTCTCCTATTTTGATCAACTGAATTTACCCATATATGTCAGACTTTAGCTCTCTTTCCATACAATACAAAATCTTTTTGAAAGACTATTATGCTATTGAAATTAATTGGATATCCAGAATCTGTTGAATCCAATGCTATCGATGACTTGTTTTCTGATGTTTGTTTTTGAAATCATTATTGATTTCATCGTTGACTTATTTAACATTAATTACATTACCCTTGTGGTGTGAGATTCTTATATCCACATAAGTAGTATATAACAACAGTCAGGCATAGAATGTATCTCAGTAGAAGATCGAGAAGGAAAGAACAGCAACAGAGAGCAATCAGTATGAAAATGCATGAACAATGAAATCTAAGACGATGGACAAAAGAAACATTCAATTTTGAGACAATTGATTGAAATTTTGCGAATTAACTATTTACTGTATAGTTCCCAGATTTCAGTGAGATATTCTGTAATTTTGTGCTCAAATACATTCGATTGTCCCCACTTGTGTTCTTGTTCACTACACTCTGTTGAACTCATACTATAATATAAAATGAATTTCTCCAACAACAATTAATGTTATTAACTACAAGAAATATATTTGAACTTAATTAGGTTTATTTATGTTGGGAGAGATAAAAAACAACTACTTTTTGCCTTTAAAGTACATATTCATCTGAACTATAAATCCATTGATTGTTAATATTTTTCCAATGTAAAGTGATTCGTAAAATCAACAATGATTGTCAATACACAAGCTGATTTCATTTATAAATTTAGAAAATATTACAATTTACAGAATATTTTTACACCAGTTCAAATTCTCTAGGATGATAATATGCCTAGTTATTCTGAGTGTATATGAGAAACATACTCATATATGGCTTAATAGTCTGACAGAGAAACAATTTTATAAAAAAAATGTCACAGGATGTACTTTATCCTTGTAATTTGGATTACTTTACCTAAATCCATACTGACTAAATCATCCACACCTCCTCCCATAACGTAGCTGTAACCAGTGAACAGTTTATTAGTCCCAGTTGGACATGTAAGGTCATCGACAAACGGCGTCTGGTAATGACGAGCAAATAGTATAGAGGAGTAATTTGTTTGACCTGGTTGTCCCTTCTCACCATTTTTACCTTTGGGGCCAACATCACCGAGAGGACCAGGAGGTCCAACTTCTCCAATATCTCCACGCTCCCCTACATCACCTACTTCACCTCTCTCACCTTCTACTAGTCCAGGTTGACCTTTTTCTCCTTTTTCACCAATATCTCCATCATCTCCCACTTCACCATCAGGACCCGGGTCTCCTTGTTCTCCAAGAGCTCCATTTTCCCCAGGGTCACCTATTTCACCAAGCTCCCCTCTTGTTGCAACTCCTTGAGCTCCCTTTGGACCCTGGATACCAGCTTCGCCCATTTCGCCTTGATCACCAGTTTGTCCATGATTCCCTGACGGGCCTTGATCTCCAGAAAACCCTTTTGGTCCCATAATACCATCAATTCCATCTATTCCTGGTGAACCTTGTGATCCCTGTATGCCTTTTTCTCCATCGTAACCAGGAAGACCTTGCACACCTCCCACTCCCGGATCCCCAGTATCTCCTGGTATTCCTCGTTCTCCTTTCATTCCTGGCTCACCAGTAAGAGCGGCCAAACCTGAAGGGCCTTCAGGACCTTGATCACCTGGTTCTCCTGGAAGGTAGTAAGAATAACGCTATTTTAATAACGTTATCAATAAATAATTACTTACTTCATTTAAAATAATAGTGAGATCTGGTGCTAAGAGCTATAGCTCAGTAGCCAACAACGTATCATTTACCCTTGTCTACCGTTTATTTGATAAACCGATTTTTAATTTCAGTATAATGATATTAGAAGACGAAGATTATCAGTACTATGTGATATATTAGCGCAATACATTTCGAACAATCTGGTCACACATATACTTGTTAAGAGCATTTATATATAAAAATAAAAGGCCAACTAGACAGGAAACAGGGTAAGAGGAGATAAGGATAATAATAATAATGTGAACACAAAGCGAAACCTAATCACTCTGGGTAATAAGTGACCTGTTTCAAATTCACAAGATTGATCTAAATTCAGCTTTTGTAGTGCTGTATAAAAGTGTAAAAGGGCGTATACTAAGGTTTATTGAAGCCTTAGCCATACGAAAATTCAAACCCCCTTTATGTGTTCAAACACAGTTTGTTCTTACCTTAAACCTACCCTGGTAATATTGACTTATTATCCAGAGTGGTTAGGTTTCGCTTTGTGTTCACATTATTATTATTATCCTTATCTCCTCTTACCCCGTTTCCTGTCTAGTTGACCTTTTATTTTTATATATAAATGCTCTTAACAAGTATATGCGTGACCAGATTGTTCGAAATGTATTGCGCTAATATATCACATAGTACTGATAATCTTCGTCTTCTAATATCATTATCGAAATTTATCAAAGGGACTAATTGTTTTAAATCAGTATAATGAGCTGAACATACCATCACTTATGAAACAGATTTTCATATCACCACTGTTACTCAATCTTAAAAGGAAAATAACTCAAATGACTGAGTATTTTAACCAAATTCACAAAGAATTAGAGAGATTAATGTATTTATAGTTATCCTGTAAAGATCTATGGACACTTGATTAAAGTATCTCCTGCAGAACGCATCTCGCTATACATCCATAATATAATATTAGGGGCATAAGTAAATAGACATAAAAAATAGATCATCAATACCTGCTTCTCCAGGTAGACCGATGTGTCCAGTATCACCAAGTTCTCCTGGTGCTCCAATTACTCCAACCCCTGGTGGACCATCTTTACCACGTAGCCCAGGTAGTCCTTTTTAAAGAATAAAAGAACATTGTTATTTTGTTTAAAATAATCCGCATACTCTACAACTGAAAGTACATTGTTAATTAATAAAACTAAATCAACGAACCCAGAGGAATACTAAAAATACTCGAATGCCTAGTAATTATCAATATTCATGCTAAAAGATATATACTTAATGACAGTGAATTCATCATCGTACGTATATTACCATAACTGCTAATGTGGAAAAAATGACATCGGCTGTACTTTGGCATCGTAATCTTTGGGTGCTCACTAACTTTTATATATGGTAGGGATAGAAAAAATATCATGTTCGTAGTGTGCTCTTTTTCTTCATCTTATAGATGGTAAGTATCATAACGAGATAGAAATGTTTTCTATTTCAAACCAAGTACCGAATAGTTTACCAGAAAACCCAAAATTAGCCCTCTACTACATAACGAAAACCATCAGGATCAACTGGAAAAACCAAGCTTGTATGTTCCAAGCAGATATATCGAGATACTTTGTTTGATCTAGCGAAAAACAGTATTATAATACTACTTAAGCAAAAAATTATAAACACTCACCATTAATCTGTTCTACGTTTAGTTCCTCCGAACCCTCTTCCTATCAAAGTATCAGTCAATTTTTCTTTAGTTCACATGGGATCGTTATTTCTATTATCATATTAATAACGACATGCCATTTCTCAGTTTCGGACTATATTCATACAACTTTACTCACTGGCTTAAGGTTCTTACTTATAGTGATGCGACCTTTCAACTTTACCAATGACTGATCTTGTATATCTTTAAGTCTCAAGAAATATACAAACTATTATTTCCAATATATAAAGCCAGGCAGAAATTGATCATGAAGTTTCTTTGTAAATATGCTAACGTTTTTCTGTTTGATGTCTCTGTTTTCCAAAAGAAGCGGTTCGATGTTAGACGGGATGGAATGACAGCTAAAAAAGTGGTAGTGATAAATTACAGATGTTTTTAATTGATCAGCATTAAGGAATAATGAGCTGTCACTACCAAATTAATATATATTCCTAAAATTCTACAAACCTTGATCGCCAGGTGGTCCCTGTGGTCCAGGTAATCCCAGTGGGCCTAGTCGACCTTGTTGACCTTTCGGCCCAACGGAACAGTTTTTGGCGGCTTCACCTGAATCACCTCTAAGACCTGGTTCGCCTTTTTCTCCCTCTGGTCCATATACTCCTATCATACCAACATCTCCTTCCAAACCTTGCTCTCCGATTGGACCTTAAATACAGTGAGTAGAAAGCAGAAAATACCATGACCAAATACTTGTAAAAACAAAAACAGTTACTAAAGATATATCTTTTGTTACTGATAATGGGAAATAGCTATATATTTTCAGGTAACTGTGATAAATAATTTGATTAATTTAGATGCAATTAAATGAATTCAAGAAGTTATATTCAAGATAATGGCTGAGTGGTATAATCCAAATGAATAAGCTAAAGCATTGTCTGGAATAGTTTTTCATATGATTACTTTGATAATAAATGAAAATATTTCAATATCTGATAAGGTAACTTAAATAAAACAATTTATCCCTCCATATCTTGCAAAGTATACGTCAATTAGTGTCTTTCATACTAATGGTTTTGTTTTTAAAATGACCGTATGATTTGATGGGAAATTCTGAGTACAATTTCTTGTATAAAATTTTCCTAATCTGACAAGTTCAACGTTTTAGAAAGTTTAGAAAATTAAATCCCTGGAGTAATTGTGAAGATTTTGTATGTATTGATACTATCGTAAGCTTAAGTATGGATTATAGAGTCTGGATCACGATGAAAATAAACAAGTAACACAGAATACATCGCTTGGCCTCGATGGCGGATAGACTGTATGATTAAGCATATTCATGAGTATGTTAAACAAGTATGAAACAGATGATTATTCCTATTATTTATTAATAAATAGTATGAGCAAGAAATTCTCCTTAAAGAATATGACTAATAAGTAAAATCACTTGACTTGAAACCAGTAGATTGCGAGTTTAAGCTCTGTCTCATATAATCCGATCTCGACAGTTGGATTGTATGATTATCCCTCATACAAAATATTTGGCTTAGAGCTAAGATACATAGATAAATCATTTCAAATATTCAGTTAATTAAATACTGTGTTTATCTGCTGAATTACATTACCTTCGTTTCCTTCAGGTCCTATATCACCTTCTAAACCAGGTGTTCCGATTTCTCCAGTCTCACCAGTTGGTCCTTCATCACCTTGATCACCTTCTTCACCGGGTATACCTTGAAATGTCATACATATTATAACATTTTTAAAATATGGAGTTAGTAATAAATGATTATTGAATTTGTCAAGTCAAATGAAATAACATTGAGTAAATAAAAAAGGCAATTGACTAATAATATATGTTAAAGTTAAATTGCTAGAAATAGACTATTCAATAGACTCTGTCAATATAAACTAACATTTTTAGAATTGTTTTGATTTATAATGAATAGCATGAGAAATAGAACTGGTAACTTATACACCACTTTAGAGTTTAAAACAGCTAATACAAACTTTCCAACTTATAACCCCAAAAATGAGAATTTTAACGGTATATTTTAGAATTACTGCAAGCAAGATGAACTAGAACAGATTAGTTGATTTATATGATTATAGGATTCGGATATAAACCATTATAATTGAACGATATTAAAGGTGAAATTAACATGTTAATCCAATCGAAATTAGTGAGTTACATAGACGATATTCGTGTTTGTTTAAATGTGGAAAATTGTTCGCTTCTACCCAATTTATCATACTCAAGTATAGTTTAAGAACAGACAAATAACTACTAGAAGCTTTAAATCTAAAATATGAGTCCTATTGTCTAGAAGAAGGTTATGAGCGAAGAAATGGTCTATAAGATTAGGACAAACAATAATTAAAATCTTTTTATCTTTTAGAAACTTATCAAAAAATATTACTAAACATAAAAACTGGTATTACATTGTTAACCAGACTAAAAATGATCACAAAAGTGGAACAGGCAAAGAATTTCAGTTTGAGGAAAGCAAAGCATACTTCACTAACTCTATAGATCACAATCGAGATTAAGTAAACGTAACATATATTTTTCGATTTTATGGATGATTACATTTTAATAAAGACTTTGAAGTATATAAACATTGATTATTGTAATTTCTAAGCATAAATATCCAAAAAAATGAATACTTATTTTAAATAACCGATGTCAATATGGCACATAACCATCAATTTTAGTTCTACAGACCTGATTCTCCTTGTTCCCCTGAGTCACCAGCTTGACCTTCTACTCCTTGAGGTCCTTCCAGTCCCTCCCTCCCTTTGAGTCCAACAGTCGTATTACCGGGAGGACCAATATCACCTGCTTCCCCCCTATCCCCTTTTTCACCATCTGGACCCAGCTCACCCTCAGAACCAACGTTTCCTTTGGCTCCTCTACTACCCTCTGCACCAACATTCCCGACTTTACCGCGTGCACCACGTGAACCCTGAAGTGAAAAAAGCCTTGGTTAGTAGTTAATCTGTTGGTTGTTAAATTTATCGTATATTTTTAAAGCACTATTTTTAAATTAAAATATCTTATAAGTTACTTGACTTTTTAGACCCCAGATATTGTTAAAACAAACTACATGATTGGCTTAAAACTATAAAATACTCTCACGATTATGTCATTCTCAATAAAGAAAAGTAACAAGTGGTTTTACTTAAAAAGAAAATCCCTACCTTTGATCCAGGCTCCCCCATTAAACCTTCATCACCTTTTAGCCCAGGTTCTCCATCGTTACCATCTAACCCAGGTTCACCTAACTGACCATCTTCACCGGGTTGTCCAGGTTCCCCTTTGATACCGGGTAGAGTTTCAGCGGTAGGACCTGTTTCACCAACTTCTCCAGGTGGACCAGGTTCACCCTTCTCACCCTGTTCTCCCTGAGTTCCATCTGGCCCAGTATCTCCTCGTTCACCTTCCACAAACTCCCCACTCGGTCCAGGATCACCAGTTGGACCATGAGAACCATCCGCACCCTGTGGGCCTACAATGCAATAGTCCAGATGAATGATCAACGTACATTATACGCAGATAAATTGACTTCACAGCACACTTTTGAAGTGATTCATTAAAAATCAGTGGATGAAACCCATGTGAAAATTACATAGCAATTCAATTGTATATATACTAATTAGATTATCAAGATTTTGTTGGTGTCAAACAGTACTTAAAAATCTTTGGAAACTAGATGATTGATTTTCACTGTAGTTATCTATGTAGGACACCTTGCAAATAATATGCTTCTATTGTAATTACTTCTAGTTTGTAAACAGTGATTCATCTTAGGATACATAACTACCTTTCATTTACGGAAATGTTGTTATGACGTTAATTAATTTTTATTATAATACTCCAAAAGTTATTGCTGGATTGAATAATTAGGAAAAATATTCACTTCGTACTCGTAGGCTTCTTAAAAGTAAGTAACCTGCAAAGATTTCATAAAAAATAATACAATGATAAATCTTGAATTAGTTTAAGATTTTTTTTGAAATCATGAATCGATTTCAGTTAGACCACCATTGAAAACCTGGAAGTATTGAACGGGCGTTTCATCCAAATGTGGAATCCTCAACAGTGTGAGTCCACGATGGCGTAATCGAGCCCTAACTTAAATCGATTCGTAATTTCAGTGAAACTAAACAATTTCTATAACCCTATACTGAAAAGAATTCATGAATGTTGACAAATATAGAAAACAAATATTTGAACAATGGTTAAACTCAAACTAATGACCTTCAAGCTATATATATTAAATACTTAAGCTTTTAAAGTAATATTATTATTCTATAAGCTTTAGTTATAGTAATTACTCCTGTTAACCATTTACATTTTTCGTATAGAAATTGTTCGTTAATTTCACGAACTATACAAGATCCTTTAAAATAAAACTAAGTGTTCTTGTTTTAGAATGGTGAAAAAATCATACAGTAATGAAAATGAAAATCGTTATGTAAACTTGATTTTACCTTGTGGGCCAATATCTCCAGTTTCACCCTCTGGACCAGGAGAGCCCTTTTCACCCATATCACCCATACTACCTGGTTCACCTTTTTCTCCAGTAATACCACGAATACCTTCTATTCCTATATCGCCAATCTCACCATGTTCTCCTAAAAATCAACATGCAAAGAAAAAAAACAACAAAACGGTGTTATTTCACACGAAAAATATATATGTGTAAATACGATCTACTATATAATGATGGTTAAAACAATTAAAAGTAGTGGAGAAGTTCATTACAACAATATTTAAATTAAAGTTACTTGTTTCATTAAGGATGATTTTCATTCATCAACATACAGTTGATTACCTACAATTATGTAACATAAAGAAAATGAGAGAACAACCTATCTGTGTTACCGATTAATTATTAAAAAACACAATTGTATGAACGAAGAATATTGTTTTCAATAATTTCTCATCAGGTTCTACAATTATAAATCCAGATTAATAATCCATAAAATTGGCCAGATTTAAGGCAAAATACATCATCATTTGGAAATGGTAATATGTGAATCAGGAATTGTTTGTTATATAAAAATAAAATCGTTAATGTTGGGGCTGACTAATATGAAGTGTTAACTTGAATCAGTTTATAAGCGAAATGAAATTGTGAGATAAATTATCAGAATAAATATAGTCAACATGGGTAAGAGAGAGAGAGAGAATATTAAGATTACAAATCGGAAATTGCGTAATATGTAAAATAATTAGGTCAAATATAGTAGATTCAGGGGTGGATATTGAATAAATTCCTCAAAAAGGGGTTATCAAGTGTAAAGACAATAATAGTAATAATAATAATAATAATAACAATTAAGCCAATAGGTACACATTTACCTAGGTTTTACGGACTGCCAAAGATACATAAACCGGATATCCCATTAAGGCCAATTTTGGACATGTATGATTCCCCATATCATACTGTAGCAAAGTGGCTAGTAACTGTTTTGAAACCACTCCATAATCGCCTGGTAAAACATAGTATTAAGGATGTATTCCAATTCGTTGACAGAATTAAAAACATAAACACGAAAGATCAGACGATGATTTCTTTTGACGTAGCATCACTGTTCACAAATGTTCCACTCAGAGAAACTGTAGAATATATTTGTGAACAACTTAGAGAACAGGAACTAGAAACGACAATCCCTGTAGAGATCATCAAAGAATTATTACTAAAATGCACTATGAATGTACATTTCAAATTCAATGGGGAAATCTACAGACAAATAGATGGCGTCACGATGGGTTCACCCCTGGGTCCCTTATTGGCAGACATTTTCCTTTCTAAACTAGAAAACGGCCCACTGGCACAAGAGATCGATAAGTTTCCATTGTACTGTCGATATATGGATGATACATTTATCCTTTGTAACGGGCGTACGGACTTGATAAGAACACTCGAGCAATTCAATACAACTCACCCGTCCATAAAATTCACATGTGAAAAAGAAAATGGGGGTAAAATAGCCTCCCTAGATGTTCTGCTTACAAGGAGAAAGGATGGATCGCTAAAAAGAAACATCAACAGGAAAATGACCTGGACGGGTCAATATACTAACTTTTTCAGTTTCGTTCCTCTACAACAAAAAAGGGAACCTTATCAAGACACTACATCATAGAATCAAGACTATATGCACTGTGGATACGATTGAAGATGAAACAAAGAGATTGTTTACAACCCTGAAAGAAAATGGATATCCAGAGAAATTTATAAATAAAAACTTAGCCAATAAAAGACAGCGTAGAGAATGTCCAACAGTAAATAGAAAGCCTCTATATATACGCTTACAATTCAGAGGGGACGCGCCGAGTGAAATGTTAAGACTTAAGTTAGGTAGATCAATTCAAAGGACTTTCAACGCAGCCAAACTACAACTAGTATTCTCCACACGACCAATAATCACTCCGAGGTTGAAAGATAAATTACCTAGACTAGCCACCTCCTTCTGTATCTATCAATTCAACTGCTCCTGTGGAGCAAGTTATATCGGCAGATGTTCTAGGAATTTGTACATTCGGGCTCGTGAGCACCTACCCGTGTGGTTAAGCAAAGGTGTTGTCAAAACTGTTAACAGCTCCATCTTAGACCATTTAGTCCAAACAGGACATACAGCCAACATGGAGCAATCTTTTGCAATAATCTATCGTGTCAACAGCAGTCTACCTAATTCCGTCAGACTGCGAATCCTACAGACGGCTGAAGCAATTGCTATTCGGATCAAAAAGCCAGAGCTTTGTATCCAAAAGAAGTATGTTCAGCCTCTCCTTTTACCCTGGCCAACTAGCTAATAATCAATCTTATAATGTGGTGACATAATCTGATTAATGTTCATTTTATGTCCCAAACTTATTATTATTATTACTATTATTATTATTATTATTACTATTATTGTCTTTACACTTGATAACCCCTTTTTGAGGAATTTATTCAATATCCACCCCTGAATCTACTATATTTGACCTAATTATTTTACATATTACGCAATTTCCGATTTGTAATCTTAATATTCTCTCTCTCTCTCTTACCCATGTTGACTATATTTATTCTGATAATTTATCTCACAATTTCATTTCGCTTATAAACTGATTCAAGTTAACACTTCATATTAGTCAGCCCCAACATTAACGATTTTATTTTTATATAACAAACAATTCCTGATTCACATATTACCATTTCCAAATGATGATGTATTTTGCCTTAAATCTGGCCAATTTTATGGATTATTAATCTGGATTTATAATTGTAGAACCTGATGAGAAATTATTGAAAACAATATTCTTCGTTCATACAATTGTGTTTTTTAATATAATGGGAATTTTTCATCGATTAATTATTATTTCTGAATATTTTTTTCTTTCTGAAGCTGATATTACTAAACATTTCACAGTATTCAAAGTGTAAAAAGATTAATCTTCTTACTGTCTGTTCAACTAAATCATCATTTACTTTATTTCTATTTATTGTACACTTAACTTACTGTTCATTACATTTATACTGTTGTCTAGTTCGTAAGATAATCAAATAATCGTTTGTTTCAACCAAATATTGTGATTGATTTTCTTTTGTTATTGAAAGTGTATGATGAAATTTGTACATTTTGTTTAGTATGATAAATTTCCAAGTGAATAAATATCACAACCAATTACGTAATCTATATACAATTCATTCAATTCACCTAATCAGATTTTCAAATGTTTCATAAACTTTCAAAAAACGTTTTTTAGTATTCCTTTAATTTGTAAACTGTTTGTTTGTATGTCTCTATAACGATTAAATATATAGTTAAGATATAAAGTCGAGTAGCTCAATTCAAACACATGTCTACATCTAATATAAAACTATTGAATGCCAAACAACTTAATAAAAGTTATCTACAAATTTATTAAGTCAACTATACAGTTTTTCATCCTTGAACTTGAACTTTATTTATTCCTTCACATCAATCTCTCACACATACATACATACATACACACTCACACACATACGATTTGTTACTCAGTTAAGTATTTCCATGTAGTTGAATTCATCACATGATTTGTAGTCAACTGACTCATTTTATCCTATTTTACAAAAAATCAACATCCAAATATGAATGGTTTAACACAGTATAATCCTGATTGTTAAAAGCTATATATTTCTTTGATAATTTTGATTTTGATTATTACCCTGAAGAAGTCCAGACAAGTTAGCTGGACGAAACGTTGGAATTAGTTAAATTTCAATCGCTGAGAATATTTCAAATATAATTTTCACATATAATGACTTCTCTATACTCGGCGCTCAATTACTGTCAAACTATTCGTTCTAATCTTGACGAATATTCGTATATATACAGTAAATAGTTAATTTTCGATAATGATATTAGAAGACGAAGATTATCAGTACTATGTGATATATTAGCGCAATACATTTCGAACAATCTGGTCACGCATATACTTGTTAAGAGCATTTATATATAAAAATAAAAGGTCAACTAGACAGGAAACGGGGTAAGAGGAGATAAGGATAATAATAATAATGTGAACACAAAGCGAAACCTAACCACTCTGGATAATAAGTCAATATTACCAGGGTAGGTTTAAGGTAAGAACAAACTGTGTTTGAACACATAAAGGGGGTTTGAATTTTCGTATGGCTAAGGCTTCAATAAACCTTAGTATACGCCCTTTTACACTTTTATACAGCACTACAAAAGCTGAATTTAGATCAATCTTGTGAATTTGAAACAGGTCACTTATTACCCAGAGTGATTAGGTTTCGCTTTGTGTTCACATTATTATTATTATCCTTATCTCCTCTTACCCCGTTTCCTGTCTAGTTGACCTTTTATTTTTATATATAAATGCTCTTAACAAGTATATGCGTGACCAGATTGTTCGAAATGTATTGCGCTAATATATCACATAGTTCTGATAATCTTCGTCTTCTCATATCATTATCGAAATTTATCAAAGGGACTAATTGTTTTAAATAGTTAATTTGCAAAATTTCAATCCATTGTCTCAAAATTGAATGTTTCTTTTGTCCATCATCTTAGATTTCATTGTTCATGCATTTTCATACTGATTGCTCTCCGTTGCTGTTCTTTCCTTCTCGATATTCCACTGAAATACATTTTATGTCTGATCATCGTTCTATACTACTTATGTGGATACAAGTAGCTCATACCACACATTGACTAAATGTGGATATTTTCGGAGATTTCAATAAAGTTTAATGTTCACTAAAAGTTTCCAATTAAAATAATCTGGACGAGTTTTTTATATTACATAAGTAAGAATGAGTAAATACAATTTTGACTGATTTTATTGCAAATTTCATTTAAAGCATAAAAAATTGACCATGATAACCTTGGCATCCAAATGATGACGATTATTTGTATTTAGATTACTACAGTATAATTAACCTTAAGTCAATTAGCTTTTGTGTTGACATGGTCGTAAGATCATCGAAAATCGCTCCATATCATTTGAATCAACTGAATTCGATAATAAATTGATTAGGTTAACTTTTCATTTCCGTAGTTCAGGAGTTAAAAAGAATATATCAAGTCAGCACTAACTACTCACCTTGAACGTTATCTGATTTTTCATATATTTCTCT